TAGTAGTAGTAGTAGTAGTAGTAGTAGTAGTAGTAGTAGTAGTAGTAGTAGTAGTAGTAGTAGTAGTAGTAGTAGTAGTAGTAGTAGTAGTAGTAGTAGTAGTAGTAGTAGTAGTAGTAGTATTGATTACAATACAGATTAAACTATCGAAACAAAAAAAATAAAATTAAAAAAGTTGTTAGTAGGATAGATAACACGCACGGAATAAGTTACAATAAATATACTTCAATCTTGAGTAAAGATTGTATGCGAAGATAATTAGGTTTCAAACTTAGTTAGACATGCTTAGTTAGAATTAGTTAGCTACATGCCATGTAGCTACGATATAGTTGGACCAACTGGCTGTGTACTCACTCCATAAGAACAATATATACGAACTGTGCCACAACTATTTCCTTTATTATCTTCTAAATATTCGCCTTCTCACTTTTCATCACTTTTTCATTAACCATCGAGTAGATTTTAGTTGGTACAATACATACCTTCTTTGAACAATTTATTTAGATCTATTGGGAAACATCTTTATTATTAATGCAAAACATTTCAACAATAAAAAAAAATATATATATATATATATATATATATATATATATACTGATAAAAAATAATTAAAACTAAAATTATATATATTAAATATATTATAATATTCAATAAGTAATGCAATAATTAATACAATGGCAATAAATATAAATTATATAATCATATCAACAAATCGTCTTATAAACATATTTGGAAATATTGTTAAATATTTAGTTAAAAAATTTTATATTGTAAACCATATGTTTAAAAGATTAATATCATCGTCAATATTAAGAAATTAAATATTCTCGACTATATTCTTTTACACTGTTAAAATCATGAATATTTATAAGATAAAATAAATCAAAGATTAACATTAAGGATTAAGGGATATTTGATATTTTTATAAGGAAATATCATTAATACACACGTGAACAAATAATATCTATTTATAATACATAATGCTTTAATTATTTAATTAATGTATGTAATTTGATGAATGTCATATCTGAGAATACCATTTATCGATGGAATAAAGTACAATTTACTGAATTCTTATGCTTTTCTTTATTCGCATAATAATAACTTAAGTGTTTATTTCTTAATCATACCTAAAATATGATTTAATATCCTAAGATTTATACTTTAAATATTATATTTAATATCAAAGGACAATTATATAATTATATTTAAAAATTTATAATTATATTTGTACATTTAATAATCACACAATTGAGCATAAATGTTTAAAATCAAATTATTACATTTAATTACATAGTCAATTAAATTCATTAAGTTTGAATTATAAATTTTCTGATATATAGTATGTACTTATAATATTACATTTGTATTCATAATGCAACCTATATTAACAATATAATTTCTTTCGATAAAAGTATACTTATGCCTTGTTTTCGTTTAAAATAACAATAAATAAATAAATAAATATATGTATGTATAGATACCTAGTATAGATACATAATAAATACATATTTTATTATTCATAGTGAAAAAATTTATTATGAAAAAGTATTTTATGATATGTAATAGTTTAATAGTTATTTCATAACCGTACATAAATTAATAGGGAAAATTCTGATTTCTCTATATTAAATACTAATTGCAAATCAAATAGTTTATAAAATATTAATAACCTCGAATGCTGAATTGTTTATTACATTATTTTTCATCCGAGAAAATTTAAATTACACTGAAAAATTCATAGTATGTCATAAATTATCTCCTTTATTAAGAACGCTGTAATTAAATATATGATACTATTTATAAAAGGTGCTTTAAACAAATATTTTTGAAAAGCATATGACAAACGTTTTATATGTTTCGAATTTTAGTATGTAGTTGTACACATTGTATAGTATTTTTGAAAAGTACTTCCGCTTTCCAAGTAGCTTTTTTCAATTATTATATTATATCTAAGTTATCTTAAAATTTAATCCAATACTACTGTTTTGTAACAGATACATTTGTATAATGATAATTAAATGAATAAGTACTTATTTAAAGTAAATTTCTCGGAGTTGTTAATGTTTGGTCGGTCATTAATATTCTGAATTATTATATCATTCATCAATCAATCAAAATAATATAATAATAATAATAATAATAATAATACTAAATTTTTATAAACTTACATGCAGAATATGTTTAGGTTGCGATAGTGAGTTTTAAATTTAACAAAAATTCTTAATAACTTCCAAGATATACTATGATGTCTTATATTAATGTAATATATGTAGACAAATATTCTTTTGAAAATAAAATATTTCCTTTACTTTAATGTTGGATTAATTCTTTTATTATTTTAATACATATTAATTTTGAATTATATTTTTGCGTATTGGATCATTTGAAGAAAAAACGTTTTTTATTCTAAACGTTTAATGCTTAAACAATTGATTTTTAATTTGAGAATTATAATTTTTAAAATTCTAAAATTCAATTATTTGAAAAAATGTTCCATTAAATTCTAAATATAAGTTGATAAGTTTTTATAAGGTTTGGTTTTAATTTAGTCGATACCCTATTAAAAGTATCTTTATTCCTCTGAAGTTTATCTTGAAGTTCATTTTATTTAAAATATTATTTTGTAGCATCAAGCATACATTCATTCAAGCACATATTTATTCAAGATCCAGGCAATGATCCATGAAAAAAGAAATGTGTCTTTTTTTTATCTTAAACAATGATCAAAAAGGTATAAATTAATCATTTCAGTAAATTAAATTCAGAAGTTGTTAATAAAAACAATTTATCGTTAAATTATCGAGCCTTTGCAGCAAGCTCAAGACAACGTTTAAACTATAATATAACAGTTTGATAAATTACCATGGCATGACACACAACTATAGGTAGTACAACCGTAAGCTCAATGAAGCTTCCAAACTTGATCACATAACGATTAAACAAGCAAAGTTTGTGTGACTTGAAGTTAGTTATCAAATTCCTAAGTTTTTTTATATTTGTGCAGTATTATGGAAATAATGTATGTTATGAAAGTTGAATTTCACCGAAGATTCGAAAACAACTACAATATTTAAAAGAAGAAGAAAGTTGTTGTTAAAAAAGAGTAAAAAGAGCAAAGAGAAATCCCAGTCTAAAATAAATCGAATGTTAGAAGAAAGCGATTCATAAAAGAATTTTTAAGTAATATAAAATTTGAGAATTAGATATGAATGAATTATAAATTAAAAAGCAGAAGCAAGTTAATGAAATTTTAAATATTGAAATGTAGAAGAGTACATAAAACCACGAGAAAGAGAGAGAGAGAGAGAGAGAGAGAGAGAGAGGCAGGCTGTAAGAGAATCTACATTAACCAAACTGAGAAACATTAATTTTGATATTCTTAAGAAAGAAAATCCACTTGGCTTTCTTTTGAAAAGGTGCAGCAGTTATTGTTACATGATATTTATTCTTAAATATCACTTAAATATTGTTACTTGGAGTATAATTGTATGTCGAACTATTAACAAATACATGTATTCACAATAAATTACAATTTATCTTCATTACTTTTATAAGGGCGTCTATTTTGACATTATATATTAATTTTGTAATAGATTGCAGACATTAGAGTAACATTATAATAATTATAAATAGATGTAACTTTTGTAGCAAATGAATGAACGTGTTTTTATAAATAGGAGATATTTTATGTTAAATAAAATTATATTTTTGATTTGGAGTTTTTTTATGTTGATCATACATTAAGATGATACATTATGTTGGTACTTTACAGTCGCATTAATCATTATTATAATAATCAAGATTTTTTTCAACAAAATATATCGATTACATTACGTTTTGGTGTAAGTAATCTAAGTATAGGTATAGCATAAATTCATGAGAATTTTTATCGATATTAATACAAATTATTTAGCAAACATAAACCTTAAAAAATGCACTAACTATTATTTAAAAAATAAAACGTAGTCAAGTTTAATAAATACAAATTGGAAAAAAGTAAATAAATTTATTAAGTTATTAAGGAACTTTATTTCTTATTGCCACATTAAAATTAAATTATGTATTTACAAATTTTAATATGTTATAAAACATAACTATTAAATATTACAATAAATAATCAAATAATTATAAATACGAGTGACTAGATATAAATATCAATGTTACATTGTAAACGCATATCAGTCGAGTTTTGAAATTTAAATACGAATTTTCGTAACATCGACATATGTAAAAATAATTAAATTAGCGATAATAAAACCAGATTAATTATATTTTAAACGTTTTTTAATGAATTCATTTTTTACACTTTCAAATAATTAAAAATATTTCTTATAAATATAATTTTTTAATAATATTTTTAGTATTTTCAATTTTTTATCTATGTCATGGTAGTGTTTATAAAATAAAAATTGATTGTTAAATTAAAATTGTTAGATTTAAGATTATACGTTATAATCGGTGGAAAATAATGCCAAATAGTTTTATATATTATGTTTATCATTTGCAAGATTTTCTCTGGTAAAATAAATCTCAATGATAAAATCTGAATTTTTAGATAACCATAGTGTCTTATATAACACTAACAACTACTATATAAAACTACTATAGTATTGTTAGTATTCACGAGTAGTTTCATACGTTAAATCATAGAGAAATATTATATCGAACCTACTTACAAGTTATACATTGTATTTGTTGCTTTTTGTACATACCACATAGAATTAGTAAAATATTATATTATAAATTTATTTAGAGCGATCGATTAATTTTAATACATTTTTCCCGACAATAAGTCGTAATAGTTATTAAAACAGAAATTTTTAATATAAATATACATATAATAAAAGATTACAATAAAATCTTATCAAATAAAATGCTTGATAATTTATCAATTAAATATAATGATAATTAAATAGTAATTATTACAAAGTGCAACACATAAACTGAACATAAAATGTACTTTGTGAACTAAGTTTCTTTTAATATTCAAATATGTTGAAAATATACAAATAATATAGTCTGACTTTACTTTATGGAATATTAGTTACAATAAGCATTGCACTAATAAAATATACGATTTTAGTAAAGAGATTAAAAAAGTAAAATAAAAAATATTGTATAATAATTGATAATACATTATTGAGGGCTGAGGACATTTTCAAGCAGATCATCAGATGTAATGTCTACTAAATGTGATAGGGATTTGGAAAATTTCTCCTTCATATAATACCTACACATTTGTGCCATCGTTTAACGATACAATATTCTAATTATCTCGGCAAATCTTTTCTTTTATAATTCTTGTTCATTCTCGGGTTCGTAGATTTTTAGAATGCCACATATTTATCACATCACAACGTAATACATATACCTGAACATAATTGATTTTACGTTAGTGGCAATTTTTTCAATACAAATAAGATAGATGTGTTCTATATACTCTTAGTGGCCAAGTGGATAAAACATCTTCTTTATGAGTTCCTGCAAAAGGATGACCAAATAAGCATTCCACTGATTATACAGGCGCAATTTATCGAATGAATTTAATATTTTAAATAAGAATTATAACATATATACGGAATTTATTATAATCCCTATAAGCTTCATTAAAATGGTAAACATCGAAATGTTTGAAGAACATAGAGCGTAGATATTTATGAATTCTCATTTTGTTCTTCCCTGACATTAATAAGTGTTCCACACTATCATTTCGTGCAGCTCAACTGATTAATCATGCAAGACTAACAAAAATCCCAAGTTATATGTTAAAATAAAAAAAATATATATTTAAATTAATTTTAAATAATCTAAGTAACAAGTACATTGTGCAGTAATTTTCACGAGAGCATAATAATTACCTTTTCAGTAATGTCGACTGTATTGTATTTAAGGAAAATAATATTTTTATAAGAAAGAAAATAATAGAATAAAATAAAAAATACAGTCATCTGAATCACATAGTATGAAATATAATATTTTTATTCTTGTCTTATAATCTAATAACCATTGTTAGCTTTAACATTAATGTCGATAAATAAAATCTATCCGTAATAATAGAAAGAAAACCTATTTTACTTATTGTCTATGCGGTGTCTCGTTCAAACTTTTGATTACAAAAGATGTAATTTATTTATTTTTAATGGAATGATTTGAATATTTTGAAAGTGAACGAGTGTATCCATCTTATTTGGTATAAAATCTAAAATACGAGAACTCTAATGATATATTTTACGTATACCAATGGAATAAATATGTTGTTGCAACATCGTAATTATTTTTAGACAAAACAATGCTTTAAACTATATTTTTAATAGACCTTGAACAGTACGTGACATGGATGGTTTAATCAATGTTACAAGGAATTTTATGTCCGGTTATATTAATAAATATCTTTAGGAAATAATATTAACGATTATGCAGTGTTTTTTTATCATGATCGAATTATAGATATTCTAACGAACATGGTTAACTGAAATTTCCAATTTTTTGTTAAATTTTAAATAATGAAGAATATATTACACTTATTTAATTAGCGTTATAGTTAAAGATAAACATTAAACTTCAAAAGCATTATATTTTCAATATTCAACCTATCATTTATAAATTATTATAAACAGTTGGGTTGTAAAACAATCAAACATTTTATAAACTTCCAAGAGTTAACAATCTTCAATTAAGTCTTGTTTTCAGAATTTTTTTTTTATTTGTTAAAAATGTATATTTAATGCTAAGAGTATTTGGCAATAAACATCTATCTAAACGAATTTAGTTTATTTCTTTCACTGTCGATGTTTTTTCAAGAGAATTACAGTCAATGATAGTATAATTATTTAATAATAATAGACGGATATTTTGATACAGACTGATAGGTAAATAAAATACATTATCTACTCAAAAAGTCATGCATTTGATTAACAAAATTAATAATATACCATATTGCTCGATTATTTAATCTGAAAATATTACATTTCAAATTTGGATAAATTTAGATATGATACATTTATTAATTAATACGAAACCTAAATGATTACATTTTTTATATAAGATATGATGAAAAATACTTAGAATCAAAAGACCACGATATATTAGATAAATTTAGCATTTCATGTAAATAGAAAAATACTGAATTTTTATAAAATCGTAATAATGTATATAGAGACCTAAATTTAAATAAAGTACCACTTTAATTAACGAACTCAAACTGAATTTGCCCAGATTGTGGTACCTTTTATAAATATAAAAAAGATTTGCTATTCTCTAACTCAATTTTAATTACTCGATTTCAGAATTATTTATATTCTGACAATTAATGAAATAATAAAATATGTTTGAGAATTAGACGTTCGGGGATGAAACAGATTTATCATTAAAATTATGAGATTAAAGCATTTTAAACAAAATTATTCGCAAATAGTTAAAATTTAGTTATTCCGTTAGAAAGTAGATACACGATACTGATTAATCTTTGATTAGATAATAAAATAAAATATGCGATAATTCATTTATATCGAAAAAGTTTCACGAAGTGCCGCGTATTCCTGATTGCTAGAGCTACGCGAGACCAATTTAACAAATATAACATCCATGACATATTATAAACCTTCTTGTAATTAAAGGAATTATTCATATAGTTTTATTAATGCTAGTGATGATGCTTCGATTTAATAAAGTAATACTTGCCTTAATTTACATAAATCTATGAGATTGATTTTGAACGTATTTCAAGCTATCATTATACACGAACATACTTCATTTTTAAATATAAAACAAGTTGCTTACACATAAGACAGATTGCTTGTAATATTAATTTTATGAAATGTTCGTATAATTGGTTTAACGAAAAAATTCTAAAATTTGAACGAGAACAATTACTGTAATAATTATATTCGTTTTAGTTTTAAATAGTTTTTTTTTTTTCATAATAACAATCTCTTTACCGCTTTACAAACATTGTTGTTACACGATTTAGATGCAAAATTAAGTAGTCAAGATAAATCTCACGAGCACGCTAGATTAAAAGTTCTTGCTGATTATATCACCTAGAGTACCACTACATCAAGAAACTAGAAAATCGAGAGAAAAACATTCAATCGTGGTTAATATAAAATATTCATTATTCAAATGACCTATGCAAAAGGTGATGCAGTTTTTAACTTAATTAATATAGTTATAGTTTGCAAACTAAGATTGTAAACTAAGATAATTTATACAGTATAGGATTAATTTTTATATTATTTATTGTATAATGTAATAATACCAAGTAAGCATGATTCGCAATACTCATATATGATACAATTACGACAAATATTATATATTTTATAATTATTTCAAAGTGAAATTTATAAAATTTAACAATATTTATCTTTTTATTAATACAATTATAGTAAAATTAATGTGAAACTTAACAGACTATTAAGTCCGTTTATTGTATCAATAAAAAAATGGCTCATCGCATTATGAAATAATTTGAATTAATTGCAAAATATTAAGTAATAAATATTCTTATGCATAAACTTGTATATACCTTTAAATGCTGATCCATTATTTTACCAATATTTGTATTTTTTAATACAATCGTTGCCTAAATCCACTACGACAAGATGCTCATCAGGCAAAACGGCAATTCCCGATGGACGACGTAACTTTGAATTGTAAGAATCAATTTCTGATAAAAGAGTTCCACCGCCAAGTTTTAAAACTTGAATTACTGTATGTCCTTTTTCAGTACGAGAAGCTAATATTCTCCCTTCATTATCAATGGCAATTCCCCCATATCTGCCTTTACCTGAATTATAAAACATGTTTTAGAATCATGAATAAAAAGATAATTACACATTTTTTTAATTATTATACACCTTTTCCTTCGACATTAATTTCTTCTGTAAAGTCACCTTTAGCAGAAAAAACTTGAATACACGAACCAGCAACTAAAATTTCACCAGCTGGACCAACAGCGACAGATATTATTAACTGAAACATATTTTTCTTTCCAATCTGAAAAGTTTTAAGCAAAACCTCAATTAATTTATACATATGCTATAAATAAAATGATAATAGTTTAATTTTGTTAAAAACCTGAAAAAGAATTTTTCCATCACAGTCAAATACAAATACATAGCATTGTCCATTATCAGCAACTAAAATGTGTCCATAACTTCTATCCACTGCTACATCTATGGGTTCCTAGTTAAAATATAAAATTATTTTTCTCAACCTAAGGTTTAATTATTTAGTTTTAAGATTTATTTTAATGTTTAATAATTATAAAGAACGTACTTGAAAGGCATTATGTGAAAAGGATCTAATAGTATTACCAAGAGTGGTCATTTCTGTTACTGTTTTTGTTCTCCAATTTACAATCACCAAACCTTGTTCAGAAACTGCGATGCCTGTACAACTTCGCCCTTCTAATCCTTCATTATAAATATGTCTTTGAAATTCTAAATCATTATCAAGTACCTTCAATAGTTAATTATTAAAAATGAAAAATTAACTTCTTATATTCGCTAAAAATTATATTAGTATTCTGCGATGTACCTTTATTCTCGAATTTCCAGTATCTACAATATACACAATTCCATTATCATCTACAGCAACAGCAACTGGTTGATGAAATTCTTCTTTACCGGAACCTCTATGTCCATAACATTTTATTGGTTCATTATGCTCAGTTACATCAAAGAATAAAGGATAATCTTTAATAGTTCTTTCAAAAACTGATATTTTTAAAGCGTAGTGACCAGCTACCGTTGGTCGAAATCTAATTTCATATATTCCATTTTCAAGATCTTTAACTTCCGTTTCAACAGAATTTTCATTTTGTGACTGGGTATTGTCAGTTACAGTTAATTCAGCTCCAATTGGATCACCACCCGTATTTCGAGGTAGGCCATGATAATCAACTGTTTCCACCAGTACAGCATTCTGTAATTTGACTACAGCCGTATCTCTCAGTTTAGCCCGACATAAACCTTGAAAAACAAATGACTTTATATAATCTAATTGTAAATTTTTTAAATATAATACAAAATACCTGGTAATGTTGTACTAGATCTAACTCTTCCAAACCCATTAAGAGCTTGTTCCAAATTGTTAAGAGCATCATTATGATTAAATTCTGAAGTAATAAAAGCATTTTCCCTGGGTTCACTAAGTGCTACTACAGCATCTAACTGATCGGATAAACTACCAATTCTTTGAGTAATATTTATTACTTCAACCTTAAATATATTTATATATATATTTCTTATAATTACAATCAAAATGAAAGTAGTTTGAATATATTACCTGATACTGTAGGCCTTCACATTCACGTTCTACTTTGTTTTTTTCCGCTTCAATGAGTGCATGTTGTTCTTCAAGAACATGTTTTTTGTCTCGTACTGCTGCAATTACAGCAGCATGTAGTTCAGCTTTTCGCCTCTCTACTTTTGCAATAATGACATCAAATTCAGCATCCACTGCTTCCAAACACTTTTGTTTTCTAGTATCTAACCTTTGAAGCTCCGTACTTACAGAGTCTTGGGCTTGAGTCAACTTTTAAGCATATATTTTTTTATATTTTATTTATTTAATAAATATATTTTAATTATTTTCATACAATGTAATTGAAATATTACAATTTTTAATTAAATTTACCTTTGATATACATTCGTTAGCCTTATATAATAATATTTCCGACATACGTTTTATAGCTATACTAAATGGAATTATAGTATGTTCTGTACATCCGGGTGATGTGCCAGCATGACTTCCTCCAGTACATACTGTGCAAAAAACTGTGTCACATGTTTCACAAAATAATAATTCTTGATTTATGTGTAACGAACATTTTGGTATAACCTAAAGGAAATAGAAATTATTATTGCGAATGAAGAATGAGTAAATAATTAACTTAGTAGCAAAGACCTCTCTGCGTTGTCTAGACATTAAATCCAATAATTGATTAACCAAGAAACTTGGAGGCAGTGCTGGAACTCCACCTCGTGGAATGGTAATCAATTCTCTACAAATTGGGCATCGAAAAGCTCCAGCTTCGCGAGTTTGAGAAGCCGCTATTCTTGTGAGGCAATGTAGGCATACCTATGAAAAAATGAATAAATAGAACTTCCATTTTGTCCTTTAGTATAAATAGATATTGTATTAAATAACACCACGATTCAGTCGATATATTATTTTAATATTCATGCTATATAATACTTTTTAAGTATTTTTTATCTAACTATCTGTAAATAATTTTATATCTTTAAAATAAAATTGATTAACTTACTGTATGAGAACATGGTAATAATTTGGGTGTATGTTCGCTACCGTCGTATACACAAAGGCATGTGCCGCATGTCAAAAAGCTTTCGTTAAAATCTTCATAATTTATGCTCACTGTTTCCACAAGCATTGAGCTCATACTGACCATCCTCTCCCCCAACCGAGTCCTAAAATAAATTATGAAAATTTTTAAATAATTATCTTTCGAGGAATCCATCGATGAATTATAACAAATTTTTTTTTTCTTTTACTAACATAATACAATATTATAGTTTAAATGCATATTAATCAATGAAAAAGTACATATATTAAATAAATTATATATAATAAAAATGTAATTAATATACAAATAAATTTTTTTTAATATTTGTTTATGATAAAATTCTTTGAAAATCATCATATCTAGAATAATATTTTCTTTTATTATTCAATAATACAGTTGATTATCAACATAGAGAGTTTCCAAATATAATATGCAACTGAGAATTTCAATAGAACCACGGTTTACGTACATATTTTGGAATGTGAATATTTGCATTCTATTCGTCAGTAGAACAACTATTAATGCTTTAGCAACCACTTATCCTCTGCGAAGAAAATTTTTTTCCCATTTACAATATTGAATTTTTTTTATTTAGAATCTTATTCGTATCGAAACTTCATTTATATATCTCTTCATTTGGATATCTTGGAGTGATCAAATATTATCATTACTGTTAAAGAAAAGATATAAATAATAAAAATATACAAACATGTTTAAAAGTCTACAAAACAAGAAGAAATGAAAATATAATTATAGATTGCAAAAAAATTAACTATAAAACAAAATTTAACTAACAATAAGTTAAAGAGAAGAGTATTAAAAAGAAGTATAAAGAAATGATAAAGCAAAAAAAAATGTAGCTAAGGGTTTGCATTCTGAATCCATGAATTCTGGGAAATAAAATTCTGAACTTACTGTACAGAGAAATTGTAGTGTTTTTATGATAAGCAATTCCGAGACATGTTACCTCTTTCGGTATGTAAGTCTGGTAAGCAAGATAAAAAACAATGAAGAAATGAACAGTGAACATATAGAAGTAATCGTATATCACTTAATAAATTTTTAGTTTAAAGAGTCTCAGGAATCAAACAGTTGCTAATAATGGAAAGCAGCGTTGTGAATATATATATATATATATATATATATATATATATATGCGAGCATTGGCTCGTTACAGTAAATAATATGTAAGAAAAAAATGTTGGGAGACAAAAAACAAAGATATATAAAGTAGACTAGCGACGATACGTTCGTTCCATCTCCTTAGTCCAGCTCTCTTATCTTGCAAGAGTGCAGGAACTTAAAGTGCAAGCAAGTATGGAGCGCGATGGTTCTCTTGGATCTCAGGCCGATAAACTCAATTCATATTGTACGTTGAATTGCCGGTACAAATCACAATCAAAATATCACTGTTATAATACGTTATCTCTCCTCTACGGCTCTTAACTCTTAAAACTTAATCCCCTAAGCATTCATAATAAACACTGATGTTTGTTGCGATCTATCATCTTAACACATAACACTATTAAGTGCGTCGCCGCGATAGTGGAATAAAGAATACACTTTATTTAATATAACGTGAACTCTCTATTTTTTTCTTTCTTTTTCTTCCGCAACTTTGGCCACACACGCGGATACGAGAATTTCAAACGACGTTAACCGCGAAGCGTGTATTGTATCAGACTAAACCTAAAGCCTAAGCGCATTACGAAAGTTTCGATTGGTCGTCTACACTACATTCTATGACTATACATGCATGTTGCTTTTCTCCTTCTTTGGTTTCGCAAACGCTTGAGAGCTAGCCAGGGCAATTTGCTCGAAAGACGATAAAGTTCTTTTTACAGTTTTTTTTTTTAAGTCTGCACCAGTGTCTGTTACTGCGTTGGATGTAACATCAAAACAAACGCGTTTGGTTTCTTTCTCTTACACGCGTGCATGACCAAGTCATGCGAAAATGATGTACTGACTAATTAAAGAGTCAAATTGAGTCCTATTGCCTTGTGCAAGTACCACAATGGTAAAACGCGGCTGTATCTGTTCTCTTGTTAGTGCGTACATATGCACAGCGTTGATAGACTTTCGTCTCTCTCTCTCTCTCTCTCTCTCTCTTTCACCTCCCCCCCCCCCAATCCGCCGTACTCTGTCGCTATCGTACTTTTTTTACTCTCTTACTCTGCTTAGTCGTGTCCCAAGTGTGCAGTCACACTTTACCTACACCATACCACACTTTACTGGAAAGTGGCAAGAGACGGAGCGGCTGCGGGTGACGCCGAAAGAAGCGGGGAGTATATGGCGTCTCACGTTTCACAGCTGCACACGTTTTTCTTTTGCATGAACGTATGATCGTGTAAAGTCAAGTATTAAGGGAACAAATAAAATAGAAATTTATATAATTAGTTTGTAAACGTTAATTAATTGTTTATGGGCGCGCGCGCGTACGTGTGTATATTATTCTTTTTCAAGAAAGAAATTAAAATTGGTATTATTCGATTGCTTATGCGTAATTTGCAATAATTAAAAATTTAAATTCATCGCTGAAAATCATCATCAAAATTCAAAATCATTCAAGCTATATTTTTAATTAATTGCGTCATGAATTTATTTTAAAATGATAAATAATTATGTAAATATTTAATAGTATTATCCAGTAAACGACTAATTACACAATCGGTTTACAAATGCATTTTATAAATTTATAAAAAGCTCGTTAGAAAACGATTAAAATGAGTAAAAAAAACAGTAAGAAAGTGAATTAAATTGGAAATTACTAGCAGAAGTATCGTTTGACTGGGCAAAAACTTAATATTAAACGAGAGATCAAGTTAAATGGTGTGATTATCATAAGTGTGATCATACAAAAGAAATAGTTGTAAGATAAGCATTCGTTAACATTATTAACACAAATTATATCTTCGACCTATACATAAAAGATTAATAAAAATTATAATAATTACCTATTTACAATATACGTGCCGTTCCTTTAATTATGTTAATATGGTTTAATGAAATTATTTCGTCAGAAATGCTGATTACAATAGTACAAACCGTTTTTCAATTCTATATCTTTGTATACGTATGTATTAAGTTTTCCATTCGAATCGCAGGAAAACCTAGACTATCCAGCATAAATACGGACAGAATATCCGAAGAGATCAAACATCCGCGAATCATGTCAACGTTAAAGTTCCATAATTGCCAAGTCAAAGTACCGAACTAATGAACGAACGGTGTTTATCAATTTTATACGCTTCGTTACATGAATAATTGGTAATACATCGCATATATTATAGTAATTTACGAACACGGTAATATATCTTTATACATAACTTTTTTTCTTTAAACATAATTCTTTTTTTTTTTAATTTTGTAGGCTACTGCTTTATACACACATATAAAATAGTATCAGAATTATTTCAGTAATTTTTTAATCTGCATTTGCATAATACTTTTTAATGGAAGTGAATAAGATTTTAAATCTAATTAAAATAAAAATTAAAAACATTTTGTTTTTCAAGCAATTCAAATTAAATTATGTTCTTTGATATTCTTTTAGCGCTAATTAATTGTTACTATTGCTAACCAAATATGTCAAAAAAAAAACTTTCTTTTTTTTAACTATGATCTTGCATCACGTGATTTGTTCAAATTCTAGTAAACTAGTAAAAATACTGAAACAGCGAATTTTCACGAAGCACATTTTTTTTTCTATATATAATTTACATTAATCGTATCTCTCTCTCTCTCTCTCTCTCTCTCTCTATATATATATATATATATATATATATATGACGATTAAAAATGTAATAATATTACATATGTAGTAAATAATTTTAGAGTGCTCGAATGACTTAGTACAAAACTACATAATATGTAATGGCAGTTGGTCAGAATTGTTATATTTTGTATTTTTGTTAAAAAGGCAAAGAATATATACGTTTATATTGTGACATTTTTGGATTTGATACTATTGATCATTACGATTTATGTTTACTAGATGCTGCTGCTAAAATTTAATAGAAATCACATTGAGCAATATATAATGTAAGCATAACTTTCTGAATTTGATCGATTTTGAATTACCTTCCACTAATTGATATTTATAAAAGTTTGCTATCGATCTGTTTACCGACACATGTATAAAAATTATAAAGATAAATTTAACATAAATTAAATTAAATTGTGGGTTAAATATAGATAAGTAGATAGTGAAGCGGTGAATAGTATTCTATCCTTTCTTTTTCACGAGTGAATCATTTATTTATTTAGTAATTTAATTTCTTTCCACTCCTATTGGTTGCATATATTAGTCCTCTCCCATGTTCATATCCAACACTATATTTCCTCGTTCTGATATTTGCTTGTCATACATTACAGTCTGTCTTTAGACAATGGTTTTTCATTTCACGATCGTGTGATTGTAAATCAGGCTCCAAGGTATTCCTCGTTATTGATTATCAAATTTAACATTGTATTAAAATTGTGTAAGGTTAGCCCTTAGCTACTTAGACCGCTTCCGTATACATTTTTAACGTTTTTAAAAGTCTTGATCATTGTGTGGCATCTCTCGGAAACCTTGATTACCAGTATTGTACTTGAAACACTTTTTTTTATGGGATAAATGAGTAGATTAAGAACAATCGAAAATAAATATAATGAAGTTTTATGGTTTTGCAATAATTTCTATGTAGATACTTGTATAATACGTCGAGAGATATTGCGAACGAATGGGAAGTAGTGTAGTGATTGATTATACACCTACAAATGTTATAGATATTTGTTAAGGTACTTTTTAATTTATAGTAATTAGAAATATGATAATATATAAAAGTAAATCTTGTATTCTTTCAAAGAGTACATATTACTTACAAATAATTTACTAACTAGTCCAATCAATCGAAAAGGATATGAATTCATTTGTATTCAATATATATACATACATAGATATATATTTATTTATTTATATCCTGATTATTTTACATCCTCGCAATAATTCTCATACCATATGTACAATTTTCATGTAAATATAAATTTTACACACGTTTTATATAATATGAAGGATTATTGAAAAGATTATTGATATAGATAAAAGACTAAAATTGTAAAGTATCATTATACAGTAACTTGGTTACTTCTTATCCTTATTTAAAACAAAATTTAAATAAATTTTTTATTGAATTATAAGCAAGTTTTCCACTATTATTTAAACTTATATAAGAATTATATAAGATAATAATTAATAGTAATTGAAATTTTATTTACAGAAACTTTGAAATATTTATATGTAATAATTCTTACTATTAGATTTAAATTAAAAATATTATCTTACAATTTATAAATGTATCTATAACAAGAATAAATATTAATATTTAATGTTTTGAGCAAATTGAATATATTATTTAAAACCGTAGAATGTTTTATAATATAATAATGACATTCTTATGATACACGATTATGATTATTTATGCTGTTTATATTATGCCGTTTTTCAGCGATATTTTTTCCCGAAGTAATCTATCAGGTTAATTGTTTAACACGATCGCATGTATGGGGATATTACATATATTATAAAAGAAAATGATTCCTACGAATAAAAATCATAAGATATATTTATTTGTATTTGTTTTATTACGGATTAATCATATTGTCTTCAAAAGGATTTAATAAGTAAAGTAATTAAATTTATATTAAATAATGTATATGTACACTGTAAATTCATTTTTATTTGTTTATATTCAATGCCAATATATAATTAAATTTTTATTATTTTTGTTTAAAACGGTTTTCTTTTAGTATTTTATAATATAATAGTATTTATCTTTGCAATTGATCTTAATTATTACATTATATTATCTCTAACATTCGTCTTTATTAAAGTTATATATTACAATTAACCAATATTAATGCTACTATAAAGATAATAGAATAAAATACTAACAAAATAAGTTAATAGTGTTAAGAAAAGGAATTAAGTACAAATGAAAATTTCACTATAAAAATATCTACAGTGCAAAGAGCATTTTAGCAAGAGAAAATGTCGGAAGGGGTAGATGTTAAAAAATTCTAGTTCATTTAAACTTCGGTAAATATTGGTTATCCTGTTTGTATTAGAAAAGTATTCGTAATAATTAAGCTGCTATCTCGCCATTAGATAAGAATTCTGCTTCTCACTCTCTTGACGCATGCGGTTTGGCAAAACTCTTGGTATTAAATGACAAGGGATATTGTAAAATTCAAATAAAATAGGATCGCTCGAGACCATATCAACTTAAAATTTTAACTAATTAAAAACTCACATAAATGGACAGCAGCTCATGTAGAGCTTTGCGGTGGCAATACTTTCTTGTGACGTTATTGACTAATTCGTTGGCGGAAGAATCTCGAGCGGAACACGGATCTTTTGCATGCAGAGACGCTAGTCGATTGATGAAAGGGTAATGTACGCCACGACTGCATCGTACATTACCCCCGATCAAGCCATTTACGGTTTAGCTACTCATACCACTCGCTATTGCCCAACTTGAGTGGATACTGCTCCGACGACGAAATCCAATCCGTCTTCTTTGAGCTTGGGCATGCTTAACTTTAATTTTGGTTCGATCTAGTTCAAAGACACCAAGTACGCAACGACCTTCTTCTCTTTTCTTAAAAACCGGCGACCCACCGAGTGCGGCTAACCGCGATAAGCGAGTAGGTTTAAGAGTATGGGTGGGTCAGCGATATCGATCTTCCAGGAGCCAAATGTCAACGGAGGCCGTGACCACTTGGACAAACTGGAGTGCTGGAGTAGCTGTCCAAACCGAGGAGACGGCGCGACGCGCAGCCCCCGGCTTTTCGAGGCCACGATGGGCCGCGCCAGAGATTCGATTCAGGCGTGCAGACCTGAATTGAAGTCGCGAGGAGTCGAGGGTTTACGGACCACTGCTCCCCCGCAACGACCGATCTGCGCACTCCTGTTCTTTGCAGTCCTGCGCACCGGCTCTGACTCCGATGCGCAGGCGCCCGTTTTCAGTTCGTACCAGTGCCCATGCCTTTACCACTTGTCCCTCTCGTTGTCTCGATGTGCTCGACCAACTCACCATCGACCTCCAAAGCCTTTAATTCGACATGCTCCCAGTTACTCTTCGTTTCCTCGCGATTTCATTATCACACTCCCGATCCCAATCCCGATCCCAATCCCGGTCCCAATCCCGGTTCCGATCCCGATCCCGATCCCGATCCCGATCTCGATACCAATCCTCGTCCCGAATATTTTTTTACACCTGATTTACTTGCATTAGTTTCCCGATCGTTATCGATTGTACAAGCCCTTTTCTTACAATTATAAGCTGACCTGCTCATTTCACGTATAGCGAATACTAATTAACGAACGTATCAAATGGCACATATTATTAAATGTTACCAAGTTTTTTTTTGGTTATTTATGATAACAGTCTTGATTATCCTATGGCCCACCCATTCTTACGATTCGTTCTTTCTTTATTTTTTTTCACGTTAATTATAAAATAAGTATATTGTAATTTCGTATTTTCTGATATTTTCCTCATCTTTTAAACAATCAATCGTACAGTTATTTGTAATTTTTTTTTATCGAGTAAATACATTATAGTTAATTCCAATAAAATATTATCTTATATACTAAAATATTACACTATACATATCTATAATTTTTCCTTCGCGTTCATTCACTCGAATAAATAATCACAATAGTCGTATGTATAAGCTAATGTAACATTAAAATTCATATCACATAAAACAAGTCGCTGCACTTTTATTATAGTGGCATACTTTTTTACAATCGAGAAGTTTCATTTGGGTAAGTTTATTTAAGTTATTTATCTAGAATCAAAATTTGTTATAATCATCAAATTCAAAACTTTAATGAGTGCGTATACAATCGACTCATTAATATATGAACTACATTATGTTAAGATAAATCATGAAATGTTTGATCGATCTTTCATAATTTTACTTGTTTAAATATTTTTGTACTTTATTTAAATTAGAAAACATAAATCATTATAAAATAATTAAATATATAGAAAAAAGTTAAATTTGAATAGACACCTGTGCAAAGGAAATATTTAATACTTCATAATATCAACAACAATAAACTTTATTTATAAATAATGTCTTCAAAATAAAATAATATTATTTTATAATTTTTTTAAATTTCGTACAATTAAGAAGTTATTTTATCGCTGCACTAACCCCAATATTATCCCATGACAACTAGTATATACAAAATTTATAAAAGTATTTAAAAATATAATATTTATTGTATCTAAAGATATTATTATTGGCAATATTTAAAAAATTAAACGATACGGGATTATAATAGAAAATTGATATTTCAAGATTATAATAATTGAAATTTGTCTTTGAGGATACGAGATATAATTTATTATTCAATTAACTTTTCCAATAAATATTGACATTTTTAATTATAATTTATTTATGCACTTATGCCATCGTTATATAAACTGTATTATTATTTTATTTTAAACTAAACTATATAATAATATTTGTTATTAATATTTTTAATCTTCTTTATCGCAATGTCCTCTAATCCAATCTGCATAACTGAAAACTCGAGTAAAAACATCCGGCTTTCCTTTAGCACACGGTGTTCCCCATGATACAACACCAATCTGAACTTGATCCGCTACCAGTGGACCACCCGAATCACCCTACAGAAATAATTAGAAATATATTAAAAATATGTTCTTTAAACAGTTCATTAAAAATAATTAATCAAATAAGAAAAATTTTCTAAGGGTTGACAGAAATGATTTTATTTTAAGTATAATCAATGATAATTGTACCATAGTTCTGCTTTGCTTATTAAATCTATAAAGATATTTGAGAAATAATGCGTAAGAATATGTTTAAACAAGTACAAAAGCAAAAATTTATATTACAGATGTAGTATTAAAAATAATCGATCACATAATTTATATAATATTTATCTATAATTTTTCTATATACAGTTATTAAAATGGCTGATAGAAATTTAAATTCAATATATTAATACAAATCCAATAACAATAATAATGCATGATATATAAATAATATTTGAATAATATATTATTATAATCTAAAAATATTTAACAAATCTATTTCACACAGCTTTAAGTCATAGTACAAAGTGAAAAATGCCATGCTCCGTGAAAACTAAATAAATAATTATTTTAAAACATATATTATTAGTTGCCTAATACCTTAGTTAAATTATCCATGTGTATAAAGAAACTTTACTATAAAATATTCTATAAATAATTCGGGTAGGAACAATAAGTTAGCTATATTTTTGGATTTCATATTATTTATAAATTAATGAAAAGTTTCTATCGATATTGTATAATAAATATTTGCTTAGCAATTGCCTAAGTTATATTAGTAGTGTTAGTAATCACTAATAAATACTCTATAATTATCTCTATACTGATTAACTCTATAATAATCTATAACTCTGTATAATAACAAATTACATTGTAATTATATGCTGCATCAGCAAAGTTCATTGAAACAAGTAAACATTGAAAGACGACAACGAAGGATAAGGAATTTTTTATAACTATCAAACAAGTACAGATTAGGTAATTATCAAAAATGGTCAAATTTATAATTTGATGAATGCAAGAAAAGTAACCATCGCATACGCAGATAAGGACTTTAAATTAAATTCTTTAGCGCGTAGACACATTATTACGTACGTTCTAATCTCATTAATTATAAACTGCTATTGACTTAAAAGTGTTATTTTTATTCAGAAATACTCGTTGAATTTATATAGGGTGATTATTATATTGCTATATTACTTCCGTTACTGTTTGAGAGGAATATTAGGCGTTTATAACATGATCTTGTTAATTAAATGATGAAATGTAACTATATTCAGTATTTTCCTAACTGATATTTTCTGCGCCTATAAAATGAATAAGACTCATAATAGATTGCGGAGAATATAAATAATAGATGTAATATGTATTTATTTATATGATTTCAACTAATTATAGCCATATGCTGTAAACGAGGATTCTACATAAGTATTAAAACATTCCGTATAATAGGAGATTTAGCTTTATCCGCTCCAAGGGTAACAATGAAATTCATTCAAATATGATAAATGTGATATAAATATATAAATTTAAAATTTTCTTCGTATATGATTAAAATTTGAATAACAAAAGACACGGAAATAAGAATAAATTTCAGATTAAAAAAAAAAATCTGGAGTGATTATTGTTTGTTGATACACATAATAAATAAGACTACCACTATTAAAAGCTTTAGTCGGTAATATAAAATTGTATTTTAAGGTACTACTACCAATGAGTGAGAATATAATTATTATGAAAATTATGAAATATATAATGTACTTACATTACAACGATATTACTAAGTTAGAAAATTAAAGAGAATTTAGCAATTCATAAGAAGCAAAGAAGAAAACGGTCCTCTTCCTTAAAATAATAATAGCCAAGCATTATTTAATAAAATAAAAGAAAATATCTTTTTTAAAAATAAACTATTATCAGATTTGTATTTAATGAAATCGGTGGAAGGTAATTAAAAAGAAAGATAAATTATATATAAATCAAAATATTGTAATATTGATTGAAGTATTTAAATGCTTATAAATAATTGAATTCAGAATTTACTGTGTTATAGTTCTCCTGTTATCTATATTGATTTATAATATGTTGCTAGTCTTTATTTATTTTATTAAAAAGAAAGATACTTTCTGAGAGCTTTTATTCAAGTCATATATGTACAAGTGATATATAATATATATATTAACGGAGTAAAAAATAATACTTAAATAGAATACTTATTCAATTTAATGACGTTTCTATTAATGCAATTATCAAGAATTGTATGTAATGTTTTTATTATATTAAACAATGATTTTGCTAAATAATTGTTAAATATCAATTTTAATTGCTTCTAGAGTTATTAAATATACAATTATATTAAGGGAGACTTATAATTCTGTTAGCTATGCATTAAATTATAATTATCACCAATTTTATAAATTCTTAATTAGGTACACTTACATGGCATGCTCCTTCACCTTTTTTTGATAAAGTGCAGATATTTTTATTTGTTACACGAAAGCTTGTATTTAAACATTCATGTTGATCAATAACGCTCAATTTGATGTGTTGTAACTCATTAGGTGGTTCTCCTGGATACTGTAAATGCATGACACACTGTTATTATCTAATAACAACAACAACAATAATAATAATAATAATAGTTATTTAAGATAAAGCTTTTTTGATATTGTTTCATATAACGTGAAAGTTGAACAACTTATACACATTGTACATTCCATGTGTATCATACGAAATATGTATACTAATTCTAGAATACTGTGTTACATTCGTTTACTTATAGATTTCCGTACATTTTATCTCTAATCTTTTTGCAAAAATAAATAAAGCATTTATAATGTGTTATATTATTTATAAAACTATTATTTAGTTTTGAATTAGCAATGATTGACATTATATTCACTTGCATATGTATTTTGAATTTGTTTTAGAAATAGCATATTTCTATAAAGAATTTAATATAAAATTATTAAAATCTCTCATAATAAGATACATATTAGAGAGAACTGAACTATAATATATGTTATAAATTTATTAATTGCTTACAAAATACAATGACAAATGAATATTATCAGCAATATATTATAGCTGTTTCATTAACAATTTATTAATCTATTGCACTGCTACGTATAAAAAGTGACATAAAAGGTTGGCGTTAATGTAGACGATTTAAATTTGTAAACGATCTATATATTGAGGTTTCATGAATAACTACGTGCAAAAGAACTTTTTTTTAAACGTTCAGTATATTATTGGAAAGAAAAATTTCATTAAATTATTAATATCAAATTCATTGTGAAACGAGAAATATATTGCAAACCAATACATTATAATAATGCATGATAAGATAATAAATTAATATGTATTTATATCGAAATAATGCTAATAACAAGTAATTTTAATAGATTAATAAACAAAATATTAATGAAAAGACTACATACACTAGTCGTACCCCATCCGGATAAAATAGCAGGATAATCGATTTTATCAAAATTTGTGTCCGGAAGTTTTATCGGTTGGATCTTTTCACTAAATTCAATATCCTTTTCCAATTCAATAAGTCCGATATCGTTTCTTATAAATAAAGAACTATATTTCGGATGGCTAATGATGCGTTTTGATTGGTAAATGCTTCCACTTTTGTCGAGATAATTGGTACCCACCACAGCAGATATTGCCGTATTATTGAATCTAGAATTGGAGAAAGGATCTTAGAGAATTAGTAAAGACTATTTATTATATATATGTTTATTTAAATATTTAAGTGATTTGAAAGCTTAAAATGTATATTAAGCTTCGATATAAAAAAGCAAAGATTAAATTTTACATAATTAGGAAATACTAAATAGAGGCATAAATTTTGTTTGAATCTCTTGAAAAGTATTTATGCTTTAATTTTATTTTTAAATTATACGTAGGATTATTGTTGTGTAATATTATTGTTAGTTATAATTTGCTCACCCAGCTAAGCAATGAGCAGCTGTCAAAATCCATCGATTATTTATTATAGATCCACCACAAAAATGGCGATTGTTTATTCTCAAAGAAACTTGATATGGATATTGACCGTCTTCTGCCGCTAAACCTCCTACGATTTTCTGCTCAATTCTTTCTGTAAATATATAAAATATATTAATACATACAATTTAATGCATATGCGTGTGTGCGTGTGCGTGTGCGTGTGTGCGCGCGCGCGCGCGCATGTATCTCTCTCTCTCTCTCTCTCTCTCTCTCTCTCTCTCTCTCTCTCTCTCATTCTCTTTGTGTGTGCATTTGTGTATGTGATAAAATTTAGATATAAAATTAAAAGAATAATAAGTATAATAACTGTTAATAACTATAATTGTAATTAATTATTTTAATTGTATGTAATTGTATTATTTGAATTATGTATACTCTTTGTTTTACTTATTTGTTCATTACCTATCGCCAAAACTGTAGAAAAATAATGGAAATTATCCAATAAACTACAAATGACGATAGATTTAATAAAAAGTATAACATTCATAGTTAAACGTATAAATTTTTCTAATGATTAATTTACTTAAAATTAAAAAATTTATGACGAATTTTCAACTTGTTTTTATATGCAATTATTTCTGAAATCTTCTTTCTTAAATACAAAGAAGATATAAATACTATCAAATAAGAATGTAAACTATTAACTTACCTGAGAGTAGATATTTCAATTTAGGTTAAACGTTTTTATCACTGTAAAAAAGTTACGATGTATCTTGCGTAGCTGTGATAGGCATAAAACAAACCGGATGAACGATAACTCAACTAATGACGATTAAAACGAATTACTTGTGTTTGAAAGAAAATTACTTTTCATCAGAATAAATAATATTATCAGGTATTATTTTAGTTCAGTATAAAATGAACAATAGTGCTATTTAAACGTCCTAAGACAATTTTAATTTATAATTACACATCCAGTTTTATTAAATTAATCAAAGAGACCCTTATATAAATGTGTGTACATTAAATTAATAATAGTATGTAAATAAAAAATAATACAGTCAACTTGCTGAAATGATAAAATAAATCACTAATTTCCATAAAGAAAAAAGATTAAAAATATATAAGACAATAGTATTATATAAAGATTTATTTATTGATAACGTATATATTTATTAAATTATTACTTAAGTAAAGTATTGACTTTATTTCAAGTTTTAAATAAATTAAGAGATTTAAATAAAAATAGTAAATGGTAAAAAAAATAATTCCTCATAAAATAATGAGTTTAATTTATTTTAATATTAAAACTCAATAATAAATAATTATATATAATAAGGGCTTTGTACATAAAAATATTTACATATTAAATAAGGGAAACTATTACCACATAACTTTATTAATTATGTAAGAGTGTATATATACTCATAAAGTAAATAAAATAATAATAAAGTAATAAGTAATAAAGTAGTAAAGTAACAATCGTATAATTAATTGTAGATTAAAAAAATGAAATTTTTAACATTATAGTAAATTTATTAAATTGTTTTTTGCTTTATAATTGTACTTAATGAATTATATTTAACATTAAAAAAAAAATTTTAATTTATGCTTTTATAAGACTTCTAAAAACATTAATTTTCAAATAAAAACTGGTTATTATAAAGTAAAGTAAATTCACTTCATAAAAATATCGAACTATTATTGAAATTGTTATCTAATAATTCTACTACTATGGTTTAAATTGTTATCTAATAAGTCGATTACGAATTAAAATTCACTTTGAATATTTGGATTTGATAATTGTAAAAATTACAATAATAAATATTTTAGAATATAGACTTAGTTTTGATATAAATTAGTATTTTTACTTTTGTACATATTTTTGAGTTAAAAAATAAAATGATTAAAATTATTAAAATTATATTTTTATGTAATGTAAACGTTTTATAAAATTTTAATAAAAAAAATTAGGATTATAAGTGAATTTTATTAAAATTAATTATAATTATAGTTTATAAGTCTTTTTTTTTATCGTTATATATTTTAATTTATATTTATAATTTCAAATATTGAAACTAGAAGTTCTGATTATCATAAAAGGTTAATAATAAAGAAATTAGAAAATTAAATTATGAAATTGCATAGAATCAAAGTTTACTCTCTTTCTCTCTCTCTCTCTCTCGCGCGCGCGCGCCCGCACAAAAATTCTAATATACACATATGGGTATTGTTACAAAATGCATTGCTAAAAAATGTTTAAATCTTAATAATTTTAATTATTTAATAATGAATTTTCTTTACAGTAAAAAACATTGCAAAGTATTTTATTATTACAGCTAGTTGTATAAGATATTTGTTTATTAGATTATATCAATTGTAAGCACTGTGAGCTGTCATTACTATCAATTAGAAAATAATTTTACATTTTATATTTAAAATTATACCTTTAATAAAATTTAATTATTTATCCACCGAAAATATATTACTTTTATCTTTTATGTAAATTTTCAATTTTAATTTTCATTCATAATTTTAATTAATATGATAACATTTTTTTTAACTGAAATTATGATCACACATTCACTTAACAATCTTAATATAATTTGAATTTAAAATAAAACAAGAGCCAATTACTAGAACAAATTTCGTAGATGCAGCATATAAATTAATTACAATTAACGATTATTTTAGGATTATAATAAATAAAATAATATTATTTTGTTTTTTATATTATCTTTATTTATAATTAATTAAGTAACTAAATATTTTTCTTATGCATTTTAATTTTATAAAAACAAGTTTACAATTATATTATTTCAAGTATTTTATATTCAATATGGAACATGATGTATTTGCTATTAGTTTCTATTTTAAAAATTTAATTAATATTTTTATTTAAGATTTAATTAATATTTTCATTTAAGATTTAATTAACATTTTTATTTACGATATAATTTTTTTTTCGATTATATAAGATCTTGCTTATTAATATGTTTTGATAATGTAAAATTAAATGTTGTTTTCAATATTATACACAATGAACATTGTGATCAAGTATATGATTGGGGAAGCTTAGCAGTATTACAAAATGCTACCTATTCGTTATTTATAACATTAATTGGAAATTTTATGTTCGAATGTTATTAATTACTTAGTTCGAAAAAATATTCGTTAAGATTCAAGCATCAATACTAGGAAGTAATGAGTTACGAGGAAGTGCCAAGAAAATATGTCAACATAACGTGCACATAACGTGCAAATACATAAACTCTTATGGAAGTTGATTTTTACTGTTTAGGATACCCCTTCTATAATGTTAATAATAAATCTATAAACATATAAAAACATTATAATATAATGTTAACGATGCTCATATCGTATATATTTATTGTAATGACTTTGAATTTTCTCACCCTCATTGTTTTTAAGTGATTAATTACGAAAATAGATTACAATATGCATAATGTAGAAGTATTTAATGTTAATTATGACATAACGATTTTAGAATTCACGCATAGAGTATAAGTCGTGATGAGCATTGCTAAATTACCAATTTTTCAAAGCCATTGTGCTTCATGATATTATAATTTTATCGAACAAATGCTCTTTAATTATTATGAAGATTAATTGCTTAATATAAAAGTGACATGCCCTATAAATATTGCATTAGACTTGTGTATTGATAGGCGATTACAAATTCACTACAAATTTCAAATGTAATCTACAATTTTGGGCAATTTTTTATTTATTTTTTGCCATTTTTACCTTCTTTTTACATAGTATATAGCATAGGAAATAATTTGTCGTACTAAAAATACATATAGATGCATGGACATATGCATACATACACATGTACTTACCATATGCCATGACAACGGCACATGTGTAGTATCTCAGAGCAGTTGTTGATTGTTGCCAATGACAGTTAATTGATTACATAGAGTCTTTTTAAAACTATTATACATTTCAATTCACCTATTATTATAAGTTAATAATAATACGTAATTTAATACGATTGTCTTTCTTTTTCTGAATATATTTTAAAAAGTTTAATGATAAGATTTTTAGCAAAGAATTATAATAATGTTTAGTGAATCTTTACTAAATAAAGAGCGTAATTTCTTAGAATTAAATAAAGAGCTTGAAGAGAAAGTTAAAAACTTAATGGTTGAGGTAGATTCGATTATTACTCGTCAAGAAGATGTTATACGAATTCCAAAACAATCTTCACAGATATTACAAAAAAAAAATAAAATAAAAATAAAAGAAACTGAGTCTATAATGAAAATAGATGAAGAAATATCAGGTATAAACATTGACACGCCATGTATAAAAAAATCAATAAAGAACGAAAACATTAAAAAGTAGGTAATTATATAATAAAAAACTATGTATGTAACTATAAAGAAATCGTTTTATGTTTCAGAACAATTCAAAATGAATATGAAACATATAATGATGATGAGTATGAGAGCATCGAAACAAAGAAAAAACGATCAACGAATGAAACAATAATTCGATTTTTAAAAGCACAACTAACACAACTTCATACAGATATACAATCTATTCAATATGATCTGAAGAAAAAGGTAATTTACTTGCATTTAGTTGCTTTCTTAATTATAGATCGTCAATTTTGTGTTGTTTTAGAATGAACATTGTAAAGAGTTAGAAATAGAAATTAAAAATCACGATGAAAAAAGAGAAAAACTCCTAAATCAACTTACCATTCAAAAGGAAAACACTGTAAAAACTGAAACTATAAATTTGGAATTACAGTCAAAAATTCAGGCTCAAAATATTGAAATTTCTTCTTTAAGAAAAGTAACAATAATATTAAAATACAATTATATAGATAATTTATTAATAAATTTTAACATATTAATAAATAAAATAATAATCGAATTTATTATTTTTAGGAAATTGATAACTTAAAAAAGGATTTGAAATTGTTGAACCAAGTTTCTTCAAACAGTGAACTTAGACTTAATAGAAGTTTGGAAGAGAATGAAAAATTTCGTTCATCTTTGAAAATAAGTCAAAATGAAGAAAAGGTAAGATTTATTCATTTACCTTACTTGTTGTAAATATTGATATTTTTAGGATTTGAGAGAACAAATAAGAAAAATTCAAGAAGAAAAGCGATTGGCTTTAAAAAATTCAGAAAAACAGCGCGCCGAAATCTTTCAAGCATTCAAAAAACAGGTTCAACTCGTAGATAATCTAAAAAAACAAAAAGTTTGTAAATTACCATTTTATTTTAAGTGATGAATTTATATTTCTGAAATTATTATTTAAATTTTGCAGATGTACTTGGAAGCTAGTAAAGAAATTCAATTCATTGAAGAAGATTTTACCAAGCTTTTAGAATGGAAAGAAAAAACTTGAATATTATTGAATAAAAATTGTATTGTGACAAAAAAGTTATTCATCATATTTTTATATTTTATTCGTTTAATAAAGTTAACATTGAAAAGATTTTGTAACATAATTTTCCTTAGCTACTTTTACACCATATTCAGCAAACTTATCGTTTAATAATTGATTATAAAAAGAATATAATTAAAAATCAAATAAATATCCTTTTTTTTTTAGATGTCATAGTACATTATAAAAATATATATTAAATAGGATTGGAAAAGAAAAAATATTTATCAGATAACAATTTTGGAATAATTATTGTAAATGTGTTTCTCCAAAATTGCTTCTGATTTTTCTCATGAATTGTAGTTTGAAATGACTTTTAGATTTATTTACATAAGTCTTTTTTTGTGCAAGAAATAAAGCTAACAATAATTCGCAACAAACTGTACAAAAATTCAGAAGTTGCGCTAACTCATTCACTGCATGCACATAAAATTTACATCGATCCGAATATCGGACGATGTTTCGTAGATACGTTTTATTCACATCTCAACATTCGTTCGATTATGTTTAAAAGTCTTTGTCATTCAAAAAACCGTTTAGTTTGAAATTTGTATTCAAATAATACGGTATAGTAGATAAAAACAAAAGCGCCTAATTTACGAATATTAAACGAATAATTAAGAATGTCGCATTACTTTGTGTTTGTATACGTATGCTGAACACTTGATGTTAACCATTTAAATATGTTGAACATCTTATGTATTTTATCCACAATAAGTATACAATTAATGAAACCGATATTGCGTACTTATTTTATTTTTACTAAATTTACAAAACTCATAAATAATTTTTTATCATGTGTATAACATTATAAAATTAATTTTCTTATCCAAACTCGCATGAAACTTTGTCCATTTAATTAAGAATGATTCAATTTAATGAATTATTAGTACCGAAAAATGAATAATTTATAATTTTATAAAACAATTTAATAATTAATATTTTTTTTATAGTTAATGAATCAATAATATGAATAATAAATTAGCTTATCAGTGTTAATATTCATTGTCAGCACACGAGCCAGAAATGCATGATTTGTATGAATGTGTTTATTTTTTTTATTTTTTTCAAAGAAACATCGGCTTAACAATGGACTTTACGATTTGGTCCATACAATATCCATTTTGTAATACTAATATTCTACAAGAAAAAGGCAGATATTATTGGCGAAGAGTTGACTAATTATAGTTTTCTCAGTTATTTTAATTAAATGCTTTAAAATATACGACCGTAAGCCAATAATAGCTGCAGCTTCTATGCTATCGAAAGTTTTGTATTGTATTTTCTCTTTTTTGTTATTTACTTTGCTGCAAAATTGGTAAATTTATTTTGTTTTCCATTTAATAAAATACATGAGCATTACTCTTCAAGATGATGAACATCAAAAACTGCATCTTTATCCCCAAACGATTGATACGATTTTGACAATTTGATTGGTAATTTTGTTTTTCGCATCCATTCGTCACATCCGACTTGGTTTATTGTAATTTTTCTCAATTTTAAGCATTTTAACAAAAAAACTTATAATTTGCATTATATTCTATATTCTTCGAAACTTTCACACCAAAATACACATTTTTTTCTTCACTTTTATCATTTTATATTTTTATACACAATGTATGTTCAAGAAAGTTTTATATCATGCAAATTATTCCATTAGTTTTTTACATGAAATTCCTATCTCATTTTACAAGCTAGTATTAAGGAATATTATTAATTAAAATTAAAAGAACAATCTTATTGATCCATAATTTTATTATTTAACATTAATTTTATTTAACCTAAAAGTCCACGTATTTATTTCTTTCGAACCATTTAGTAAAGAAATGGATTTTAATTAATTGTCCAATTTTTGCACAAAAGTATTGCACAAAATAAATTTTCTCTTAGCTTTTATGTATTTGAAATAAACAGAGAAAATAAAGGATTATCATAACTTGTCTACTTATTGTCTAGTTTTTATTAATAACATGTAAAATTAAAAATATTTTTTAAAAATTGTTATGGATGGCCCACCACGAATTTATACACTATTTTATTCTTCAAATAGAAAGTATTAAATATTTTAATGTCACGAACTAAATTAAGATGATAAAATGTTGGAAAAAAATGTCATAAATCTTAACATCATTTTGACCAATACATGAGCTTTTGATCAGCTTTTACTTATTTTTTTAGCAAAATATGCGTTGGCTATAATAACGAAAATTCGTTTAGAAAGAAAGAATACACAAAGACAATGAAATTAAAATTTTTTTTGAAAATTTAATTCGCTTACTTTCAAACATTTAATGTCATAAATTACATTACTACCTAAGACAAGTTTTGGATTATAAATGTAAGAATAGAGAATGAACTTTTCTTTCAAATGAGACTTTATACATTAATTACAGCCTTAGAGTCACGTCGGTTTTTTTTTTCTTCAAATTAGCACATCTCGAAAAATAATTTTCTTTCATACTACAAATAAAACTTTTTATAAAATATTAATTAATGATATATGTATATATATATGTATATTGATTATTAAAAATTTCGTTTTAAATTTTTTCACGATAATAATAAAAATATTGTTAAATTGCAATATAAAATATGTAATTCAGAAGTTTGATTAGATTAGTTATGAATACGTATCTGGAGATCGCTAGTTGTGCATCACGAACAAAATTTAACGCACCTAACGACGTGACTATGAAGTAATTTTATTATAACGTATTATAAAACCAGTTCTAAATGCGACCAGAGGGATAACACGGCACAAAGGCATCCTTGGAAAGGAAATCAAATCAGCTATGTAAATAAATATTTAGAGACGCGTGTATAACAACTGTAGAGTATAATCATCTTTGCTTCATATTTACGATTTTTATATCGCATTTTCAGATCAGGAGATCACGCTAGATAACTGTATGTATCCTTCTGACCCTCTGTACGTTCCAAATACTCTTTTTCAATTAAAATATCTATACATTTCTAAAATATAAAAAACATTAAAAATACTTTAAATCACAAATAGCATTAGTATTGAATAAACAAAATCTTATAGCTTGTCAATGCATTTATTTCTTAAGAGACATTTCGATATCTTATGACAGACGTATGTTATCTTAAGACAAAATTTAGTATTTAAAAATTTTCTTCAAAAAAGTTGACTTATATTTTTTTTTTATTTTTTTTTTTTTGGCAATATTAATAAGTTATGCAGACTATTAAATTTGTTTATATAATACTATATATTTAATTGATTAGTAATAATGAAATGAAGTTATTTTATTAAATTGTGTTATAACATTTACTTTAATAACGTGCACTCGTGGCTTAAACCTGGAACTTAATTGATTCAAAACTTCTGCAACAAGCTGTTGATGTTTTAAAACTTTCCGCATTTTCATAATCCTTACAATGGCTGCTTGTATAAGTAATTTTCTATCTTCCTCTATGTGTTTATGTGTCGTTTCTTGTTCAATTTTAAGCTCTGTTTTCATTGGTATATTAATATTTACTCTTAATTTTTTACTGTAAAAAATATAGTAATTAATTAACAGTTTTAATTTAAGGGGTTAAGACACTTTGAAGATTCAAAACTTAGATAAATTTTAGAAATTTTAACATAAAAATTATAATGTAAATACAAAATCCAATTAATAGTTTTCATTTTACATCTCTTGAATATTAAAAATTTTTCTAATTTTAATTTTTTTCAAAACAGAAGCTGTAGTCTTTCAAAGTACAATGTAATTTTCTTAGATAAGCTTTGTGGCATGTTGTATTAATCTTCACCTATTGATTCTAGGGTAAAATAATAAAAGTTTTTATTACTTACATGAAGATTATCATTAAAGTAAACATGGATATTAACATTTTTTTATTATTTAATTGTAAATAAATATTAAATAACTTCAGAAATACTCAATAAATTACAAAATCCATGTGTATTTTCACGAAAGATTTATTTCAATGATTTTTAGTTATTAATTTTATCAGCAATTAGATATTTATTTTAATTTTTGTTCCACATTAATTTTAAAAATATTATATGTATAAAAAGATGTGAAAATTTTTAAATAATGCTTGATAATACAGACAGCCTCATAAATTCCGTATAACGGTATAACTTCCTGATTATTTTTAATATTAGATATATTTTAAACAAAAATTTCAAAATGACGTAACCCTTTAAAAGTATATTAAATTGCACAATTTACTTTTTGTATCCTGTAAAAAGTTCTATTGTCGATGATGATCCTAATTCAGATTCATCATCATTGGTTATAAGCAATTTTGCTTTCAATAATATTTGTATTACCTAAAAAATGAAAATTTATTTAAAGTATAAGAAATATTAAAGAAGTAGATTAGTAAAAAATATTTACTTGTAATAGAAAATCCATTTTTATTTGAGTAGATTCATGTAACTGTTGTATTGTCCAAGATGTTGAAGTATTATATTGTAACAAAACTGCCATTTGATAAGTTGACGCTTGCAGCGTGTATCTAATTGGAAAAATTATTTAAATATGGCAAAAGAGAATATAATGAAATTTATATTTTAATGAAAAACATAAAGCCGATCAAATATTTACCGATTTTTAAAACAATTAGTATGAAGTTCACCCTTAGACATATTGTACAACCAATTTAACTTTCTTCCACTGTGTTGTGAGCTGTAGAAAGTTGTGAATCTGTGAACGGATCTTTCTAACTGTAAAATAAAATTTATATCATTATTTATAACTGAAAAAAAATTCAGATTAAACAAATTAAATAAAATATACCTCGGTTGGTAAAGAAAAAGTGAATGATTGCTGGAATGGCCATGAACCGGATGATAAAACTTGTATACTAAAATCTATATCTAAAGGTTCGGCTGAATTTGTAAGATGTCTTCGAAAATGTTCATTTAAATCTTTTGAAACTCCAATATCCTATAATTATTTTATGGATAAGATATAATAAAATCAGTTCAATAAATATATTCGATCAGATTATTAATAAAATTACCTGAAACATTCTTTGAAGTTTAGAAGTGTACTCGAAACCACAAGCCTGCTTTAGTTTCGAAATCATGGAAGCCTCAGCGTCATCGCTAGCAGACATGTGTTGAACCAATCTCTTTGCAAGCATTTTGCTATAAAATTTTTGGTACACGTCTTTGTCTTCTATATATTTAAATACTACCATCTAAAAATTATAATTAATTTGTAATTATTATAAATTAATAATAAACGAAATGCAAATTTATTTAATACGTACAACTTGGTTAAGTGTATCTTCAAGTTCTGCTTCTTCAGGATTTTTACTGCTTTTTTTGAGCAAGACATCACAATACTTTGCTAATAATTCTGGTGATTTACTACTACTATTCGCTGCTTTAGTTACAGAATTAGTGTTAATAAATCGTCCACAAGCTTTATCTAAGGCTGCTACAAAACCACTGTCATTGTTAAATGCAATCAATACTAAAGCATTATATTTTTTGTGAACTTCCAAAATTGTATTAACATAAATTTTAGGATCCTACAATTATAAAAAATATTTGTCATATAATTAACAAGTAATTTATCGACATAATGCTCTTAAATGCTAGTTAATAAAATTAATAAAATCTAACGGGTTGTTTTAATACTAACTATTGCATGTACTTTTAAATATAAATTTTATAGTTTTTAATATTAATTGAATTTTTCAAATACTTCTTACAATAGCTTTATATATGTCATTAGTTAGATTTATTAAATCGATCGAATTATTTATATTAAATCGTTAAGCTTTATAAACCATAATAAATAAAAATTTTTAAATTAAGATATTTTCTTAATGTTTACCCTATGACTATATAAAATTAACTAAATTCAAAAAAATTGCTTGAAATACAATATTAATATAAAAATCCGTTATGCATGATATAAATTTAAAATAAAGTCTGTATGCATATGCTCAATTATGTGTACACATAAAAGATTCAACTATGCTAATATTATACTACACTATATAAATAAATGAAACACACATTAGCCGCAGAATCACCACATTTATCTATAGCTGCAAGACCTTGGTTGGCTATATGAATTTCTAGAAGATTTCTTAATTCACCAAGCCCATTTGTTATTCTCGCCACTAATTGATACATTCTGCCCAAATCAACATTTTTATCTGAATCTAGTAAATTTTGAAATTCTGCGTGAAAAATATCAAGATGTTTTTCTATTAGTACTCTTTCACAAGTTTTTGCTAATCTTTCATGTGTCGTTTGATGTAGGTAAACTTGAACTCGCTTTTGTTCTTCTTGTAACCTCTGTTCTACCTATTATAAATAGTAATAATTTACTTATATATTAAAACACTGCAACAATGATATTTATTTAAAAAATAGCTTACTTTTTTCATATACTCTGTGACAGGATTGTGTCGTAGAAATTCTGAACTTTCACGGGTATAGAACCTTTCAGTATCTTCAAGAAACAAATTTTCAAATGATTCTTTATACACAGTTAAAGTTTGTCCCTTAGCACCTGGATCTTCTTCGTTTAAACCTAGTTCTACGTAACAATTTATAACACCACTAACTAAACGTGTATTTATTGTTTCTCCATTTCTTTCTCGTTCAATTAATTTTAAAACAGCATTAGTAACCTATAATTATATTTTACAATGTTTATTTCTATATGTATAAATAAAAATTAAATTGTTACCTGTCTGTTTAAATGCTTGAATAAATTGTCCCTCCAAGTAACCAGAGCTAACTGATAGATTTCATAAATTCCTTTACGTCCCTCTTCACATTCTCGACGTACCCAATGGCGATTTAAATACGCACATACACCATTTAATACTTTACTACTAAACTGATACTCCTCCCATTGTCTTGTATAAAATTGAAGAACATCCTCATCCATCAAATCAATTCCTTGCTATAAGTAAAATTGTTTTCAATATAGAATAATAAAAATTAAATTCATTAAAACTGCAATTTTTTTATGTACAAACCTTAAGTAATGTAATAAGATAATTTCGAAGAAAATCACGTAACCGTTTGTAAAGTTCCAAACCTACCAATTGTGCACCACCAGTTATTTGACCTTTTTTACTTTTTGAAGATTGCCTAGAATTCATTTGCTGGTGTACACTTGTGCAGTAGTTGTAAACATGTCTAAAAAATTTAGAATTTCAATATTTTTTCTCAATACTATTTAAAAAAGATAAAATAAAACTCTAAGAAATTGATTATAACATACGTATACAATTCGATGTATCTAGGCTTTGACATGCCTTGTCTATTGTATACTTGTTCAATCCCTTCTCTGAGATCTCCCCATATTTGATCGAGATCAATTTGTTTGAGACCAGGTGGGCCTTGATTACTACTTTGACTACTTCGATAGCCAGACATCTTAAGTTACTATTTTTAATTTATTTATATCTACTTCAATTTTATTTTCCGTAAATATTCTATAAAAATAAATAAATAAATAAATAAATAAATAAAAAAAAATAATAATAATAAATTGAAGGTTTAAAGCAAGATAAAGAATTTATTAAAAACAATATTAATTTTTAACCAAAATAATTTATTGGACTGTAGATATGTAAAAGTTATATATATATATATATATATATATATATATATACACACACACACACACACACATACACATACACACACGCATATATATAATTTTAATATTATGAACAGCAATATAAATAAATGTGTTGATTTAAATTAAGTGTATAAATAAAAATAATGCAATATCGCGAGGCAAATTAAAAAATAAAGGATCTGGAAGAGCTGCGAATTGACGAAAATTAAACATAGATAAAAAATTATGTAGAATGGAAAAATTAATTAAGAGCTTCAAGAATGGTTGAGCAATAGAGATGAGAACGAACCTCGTGTTTACAGTACAGTAATTCGGCAACAAGATGAAAATACGGACTATTTTGTTTTATCGTGGTACTCACCTAACGACTTTCACCACCACATAAGCAAAGTCGTTTGTGATGAGCTGTTCTTAAAAATTGGCTCCTTGGTTCACAGTCGTTTCACCCCCTCCGAATCAAGCCTCTTATCGGCTTCTAATTCTTGAGAAGTCGTCTAATTTCACGAAAACGAAAAAAAATCTATGCTGTCAAGTTGCTGGCAATCGTTCCTCTTAAGTCTTTATCTCAATTGGCTTGCAATTTCTAATCAATTTCTAGATTTTCTAATCCTAGCTCTTTTTAGACTCCAACACTCAAAACAACAGTTTATCCCTTGTCCCGCGCGCGTGTTCCGTCCTGTCCTGTCCTGTCCTGTCCTTCCGTCCTTCCGTCCTTCCGTCTCCGCGTAACCGTTTACCGTACACTTCACTGGAAAGTCCAAACGCAGAGAAGGAAGGGCAGAGACAGAAAAAGAGACTTCGAGACTCAGCGAGCGAGAGCAGCAGCGGCTCTCTGCACAATTTGCCTTCCGTCAGACGATATCCTGCACTTCCGCAACTCAGCCGCGACGAGGACGACTGCGACGACGAGCTGCTGCTGCTGCTGCTGCTGCTGTTGCTGTTGCTGCTGCTGCCTCACGAAGATTTGGCAGGTTAAGTTGCACGCTTACCAACGAAGCCGCGCTCATGTTTCACCGCCGTGACTTGCCGACCAGCGAATTAAACAGGCCAACAGGATTAATACTTTGCTTCTTTACGTTTTTCTAACAAAACTGATTATACGATTCTTAAGTTGCTAACCAACAACCCGCTCGATTTACTTTGTTAAATTAATTTAATAATCAATTTTAGCTTTTCTCCAGTAATTGAAAAATTTGTTGTGCTTATACTACACTAACGACTAACGAACGAGTGAAGACAGAAAAGGTTGGTGAAGGTGAATTGTCAAAAGACAAAGAACGCGGGACAAGGCTTGTAATGTTACGTCCAATGTATATATATATATATATACACGCATATATATATTTATATCTTTCTACATTTTCGAAATTTTAGAAAAAAGCCTTATTCTACAATTTCTACTACAAGAAATATTTTTATGAATTTTAAGGTAACCAAACTATTTAGGTATATTAGTCGAACACTAATGAAATAACGAAAACCAATGTAGCACAAGTATACTATATATATATATATATATATATATATATATATATATATATATATATATACACTCAATTTTTATAAATTTTTTTATTTATATTTAATACTTGTAAAGTCAAATTTGAATTGTATGAAAAATTTTCATATAATCATAAATTTTATTACCGAAAATATTTTTAAAAAAAAAATTTTCTCAACCTATTTATTTAAAAATGTCAATATATTTTTTCCACAAATATTAAAACATTTTCCCATTCAAAATTTAAAGCATTTTTAATGCAACCAATATTCTTTGTTGCGTTCATATTCGTTACTTCTTTCAATCCCATTAATATTTATTGTCTCTCTCTCTCTCTCTCTCTGTATATATACATATAAATGACAAAATATTATAATTTTTTTAAATATTATTTTATTTATATTACATTCATATTACTTACATATATATGTAGTAAGGATTCACCATGCATTCCGAATCCTGTTAAAAGTGCATCTACAACTATTTATAAATTGTAATTTATATTTTGATCATTTTCGCGCGAAATAATATTTAATATTTTTATATTGATAAGCCATTGGAAATTTCAAAATATTAAATAACTTCCATATTTGGTGACGACATTATTAGTAAAGTATGCTTGTAACAAGTTAAGTGAAGAAGGTAGCGTTTTCATTGCATTTGATTAATATCCAAATTTATATTTTATGAAGTTATTAGAGGGATATTACATCTACACCCTGTAACTGAATCATATTGAATTTTGGATTTTATACTTTCTTCTAATTGGTTATAGTAAAGGAAATGGAATATAAAAAATTATTATTATGAGATGTAATATCCAAGGAATTGAAAAATTAAAGAAACATAATTAAACTAATTCGTTTAAGTTTAAGAGCCTATCGAATATTTTACGATTTGTAGATTACTTCACAATTATAATAAATATTAAATTGTAAAGTAACTTTAGAATTTCGTTACATTTTAAATAAAAGCAAATTGTATTTAAAATAAAATATGCATAAAATTGATGGCCTTTATTTTATAAAAGAGACTTGTAAATATAGTTTTTTATTTTAATTTAAAAAATCATATATTTAGTTTAATTAACAAACGATAAAATATGTAAAAACAAATACGTGCTACATTTTATTATTGTTAATCTCATATATTAATATTTAAATACAGAAATTACAACAACATTATTACATAGCATAGTAGATACAGTGTAGTTGTCATTGAAACTATAATAACAAATTAATTAAAAATTCTTTTGATAATTATTACAAATAATTATTAATAGTATAATTCAATAATATTATAACGTAACAACACACATGAGAAAATTTTTCTTATTTAATATTGCAGGATTATTTCTAGAATACTTGATATTATTGCTATTATGAACATATTTATTTTGAAGATAATCATAATTGTAGCATTGCATTTTTTAAATATTCCTAATGCATTACATAAAATTGTAAATATCAGGTGTGCTTTCTTATGTTAAATCTTAATTAAAAATTCAAGCATAAACGAAATGGGTAAATAATAAAAAGATTCATTTCAAGCGTAATATTATTAATTTACTATTATTATTAATTACACTTGTCGTGTATTTTCTGATCTATTTAGTTGTGCATGTAATAAAACTGAATATTTGATTTCATTTGAACTCGTTCTATCAGCTATAGAATTTTAAATTACAGTTTTTTTAAGAAAAATTGTTTATCATATTCAACTTTAAAATAATTGAGTTTAAATTAATAAATATTGATTTGAATTATAATTAATATGAAAACATTTTTTTCAATAAAATTTCAGATGTAATTGGAGATTCAACGATAGTTAACTTAAAGGAATAAGAAGCTGTATTGAAAATTTAAATAAATTTTTTATAAATCAAATTATATTGGAAATAAGGATAAATTATAACATGTTTATTAAGAATATATCTATTAAGTATAATGAAAACAAAAAATTCAATATTACTTAAAGATAGACTAATTATTGTCAAAATGTTTTAATTTTTATTTAATTCAGTCAAGTAGCTTCTTATCATTACAGTAATAGTTATTAATAAATATAATTTTTTAAATTATAATATGGTTGTGTTTTGATTTACAAAACTCTTTTTATAATGCTTAATATATAATTAATTCTGAGATTCATGAATCGGGGAGATAATTGCATAAAATTGTTCCAAATAGTTTATAATACTTATATATATAAAAAGATATTGGTCTTTAATATCGTTTTTGGGTGTGTGTGTGTGTGTGTGTGTGTGTGTGCATGTGTGCGTCTGCACGTGCGCATGTATAACGATTGTATTTATATACAAATATATATTTTACAAATTCCCATATTATAGGATATATTTTCGATTAATTACAAATTTTTACAAAGGAAGTACTTATACTTCTGGCAGTAAATATTTTTATTATTGTAAATCTTTTACTAAAATTAATTGTCGTTTCACAAAAACCATATGTAGAAATAAAAATAATTCTAACAATCTAGAATATTCGTTCAATTGAAATTATTTTTTTTAACAAACAAAAAGATAATGTTTAATGAATAGGATATTCAACTTTTAGGAAGTAAAGTGAAGTAATGTTTATTGTGCGTTGCGGGTTAAGTATGAATATGTGACATTCGCGTTACGTAAGTAGAAATTTACGTAATACTTTTTTTTATCGCAGCTTATATTTTATCAATTTTACGTTTATTTACTGCATTGCCTTAAATTAAATTAAGTCACTCTGCATAGCGAGGAATGTTTTATAAATTTATATTTATCTATACCATTTGAAAATTCATTATTTTATAAAGTTTTTATTATTTAATTCATATTAATAAATGAAAATAAAATTAATGAATAAGTGATATATAAAAGACCTTTGCAGCATTTAAAAGGAAATGAAAAAACTAAATTTGTTCTAAAAACAAAATTATATACTGTCTGAATATAAAGTTACATATTAATTTAATTTATATATATATATAAAAAAAAAATAAAAAAAAAAGTATAGGTCTAATTAGAGAATTTCTTTGTACATGTAGAGAGAAAAATAAAGAAAAAACAATAATAACAAAAAATACCAGTCTAAATAATGAGACTAGTAAAGCCACCCACCCATTTATCCATCCACTTATTCATACGCACGCGCGCAAGGCTTAATTTAATATTGTTTTTGAGAGGCAAATTTGAATCAAACTACTTTATTTTTATTAGACAACTTGAACAATTTGAAGTGTATTATGTGCAAGTGTACTCATGCCGTTCCTGCCTTCAACATCGGAAGATTCAATTTGCTCTTTGAGAAGTTCAAGTTCTCGAATACCCGATACGGTAACCTCGTATTTATGAATAACAAGACTACGATAGAAATGGATAGCAAAGGCAAGGAATATGACGAGGACTGGTATGAGGACGATGCATGCCGACCACGCGGCTACTTGTGAGAAATCATAGAATTTAACCCAGCAGAGGATGGCAATCTCAACGAGAAAAAGTAGGAGCCCTAAAAGAGTGGAGAAAGCCCAAGCCACTTCAATGTACCAATGTAGTCGTTCGTGCGGAGATTCATGTACGAGACTAATGCTATGCAAATTGCACACCGCCTCAATATTCGGTAAGATACAAGTTGATATCATAAGAGCCAGCATATGGACTGCGACGAGTAGCGTTGTACACACTGCAAATGTCACTAGCATCTCTTTAGGAACTTTCGTGTCCGAGTTGAGCTGTACTTCAACCATGGCAACCTGTTTAATAAATTCAAAGATATTATTATCCATAGCATTTGCTCGTGCGATAATCTTAATTAAAAAATCAATAAACGGGCTAGCTACCATGGCAAATCCCGATAGTAGAGCTGAAGTTTTACTAGAAGCTTTGAGTTTAGCTCTGCTAAGCTGTAGTTTTCTCCAGGCGAGGTATCCTGGCGTATGTAGCCCATCACCTGACTGCGACATCTTCGACTGTAAAAAAGAGATTATTAATCATCCGTTTGCCCACTAAATTCAAAATAGCGCTACAAATTAACAAACGCGGTCTAATTTCATATATTAATTAGTTTTAAAAAGTTATTATAGAATTAAGCATACTAATTGTTTGATAGAAATTTTAAAGCTAAAATGTTTTTATACGACAAATCTACGCACCGATTGCAATAATTTTAACGAAACAAATAAAGTTATTGATACAAATAAAGCCAAATATGTAATTAACATTTATAACGAGCATATTAACGTAAATTAAGCGAGAAAAAAATTACGAAGTTTATTTAATTGTCAATTAAAAATATTTCAATGATTTATAAGGTTTCATAAAATTTTATCGATAAATTAATGTTTTTTCGATTAACTTTCAAGTTTTTTCGTTTAAAAATCAGACATGTATTTATTTTAACGTCTACAATGTAAGTTAAATGAAAATATAAAGAATAAGCAATGAAAAACTAAGTTGGCTGAAAAACAGGAATTAGGTAACTATAGTGATTATATATCGCATAATATTTCTAACTTGTTATTGTACGTGGCATTACAATCACTTTTACATAATAAATTAATATACTACATAAAATAGACATTAATGCCATTTTATAGCTCATAATTTCAGTTATGTCAGGTATAGAAGGCAATGTTAAAGTAATAATGTTTTGAAATTTAATTAATAAAACATTAAATATATTTAATAGTATTATTAATTTTATATATTTTATTATTGAAAATCAAATATTTCTGAAAATAAATATATGATACATATATATTGAGTTTTAAATTATGAAGAATAACATTTTGCATTGTTGATAAAGCTAGCATAAATCGACGAATCCTAAGTGAATAAGAAGACGATGCAAACATCGTTAATGTGTAGGTATGCAGCGCAATTATCGGAGGGTGAGTGTCAATATGTGTAAATAGTAATATTGTATGTTTAAACAAATTTACAATCGATGAAAGACTTGATGAATCAATACATTTATAACGTGCGATTTTCAGTAATTTTTATAAAGTCAAATTATTAATCATTGTATATTTATTATCGGAGGGTGAGTGTCAATATGTGTAAATGGTAATATTGTATGTTTAAACAAATTTACAATCGATGAAAGACTTGATGAATCAATACATTTATAACGTGCGATTGTCAGTAATTTTTATAAAGTCAAATTATTAATCATTGTATATTGTATACAATGACTAATAGCCAAGATGTAACGTATTTAGATTATCAAATAATTTTCCATTCATAAGTTGGAGTCCATATTTGACATAAAGAGAAGACACATTTTCACTTTTTCCCTTTTTTTCTTTTAACATTCAACATATATGACGATTTTATATTTACATTATTTCACCTTAATTTTTGCAATTAGTTACAATTGATTTATTATTATTATTATTATTATCATTCTTGAACACATTTTAAATCAGTATGCATGTGATATTTGTTTAACAACTGATCTTAGCTTCATTTGAAATTGATGATTTAAATAATAAAATGTTGACATTCAGTGATTGAATGACAATGAATTGTGGCGTATTTCTACCTGATCATGTAAAAGGTAACACCTAAATATTTTTATTTACGTATATTATAATGCATGAATAAAAATCATTAATTTAATAATTAGTTTTCATATCATTTATAGTTAGGATAACTATAATGAACTAAAATAAAGTACTTATTGATGAATGTGTAGTTTCGAATTTCTAAATCAAATTTAAAATACCAAATTTTAATAGAAATATATTTAACATAATACTGAATTTACATAATATAGATTTATAAATAGTGTAATCAACGTATTGATTTCCAAAAATATAAAAAAATAAGTTGGAACTAACCTGATAATTGTGTATGCGTTTGTGGAAACAATGATCGTTAGATCCGTGTATGTGTGCATGTGAATGAGAATGAACGGATGGGTGTGAAGCAGGAACAATGCCAACTCCAGCTTCCACGCCAAATATTGAATTACGTCCAGTACTCGCTGACCATACAGACATTAGGACAGGATTTTTTTTTAATTCCCTTGAAACTGTAAATATATTTGCTTATGTTTTTTTTTTTTTATACAAACTGTTTTTTTTTTTTTTTTAAAAGAGGTAATGTGAACAAAATTTGAAACAAATAGGAATCCACATTTACACTTGTTTTGTGAAATCTGTTTTAGGAAGTTGGATCCCGAAGTAATTGATTCCAGATTATTTATTTACGCTATCTAGAAAAAACACTGTGCTCTATGAGGTCTATATATATATATATATATATATATGTGTGTGTGTGTGTGTGTGTGTATGTATGTATGTATGTATATATAATTCCTTAATATTAATATAATCTGCCTTTTTAAAAAAAGTATTTTTTTGTTTTTCTACACAGATAATATAAAGTAGAAATTTCGATGCTTACAAGTAAAAATGAAGATTGTAGTTTAACGAATTTTACTTTACTAATATTTTAGCTCAATTTTCAATACATTACGCATTTATATTGTATAACTTATTTACTATATACACATTTAAATACATTTTCAATATCTAATTGATTTTTCAAATTCATTTTAAATGAAATATAAAGCTAAAATATCTTCAGAGCAAAATGCTTCAATGAAAAGTTAAAAAAAATATATTATATTGGATTATTGTAAAACGTTTACTACATACCTACTCAGCATATTAGATTTTAGTACTCTAAACGTGTATAAATGTATTGAACATTTTGTAGAAATTTATTTGCTTATTAACTAAATGCAAATAATAATTTGATAAGTTCAACAATAAATATTTTCACAAACGCTTAAAAAAGTAATAAAGAATTATAGAATAATTTTAAACGAGTAATTAATTTTTTATAACAAATTTTATCAATAATATAACCATAATATAACCCATTACATCTATTTTTAAATTATATGGATGTTTATAAATTATTCGAACCATTAATATTAATACTCGATACAAATATATTGCATAATATAACTGTTCAGCTCGGTGATTGTATTGTATTATATGAAATATATGTAATGAAAGGTAAGTATCTATATACTCGAGTTATTTTCAATGCATTATTTGTATCGATTCATATGAGTAGTTTTTAAAGTTAACAAAGTTTACTAATAGGCTAGTTAAATTTTAATATTTGAAATATAACACACACAAGTATACACTTGTTTGATTGAAAAGTAAATGAGTTATTAGTTATAAATACTATTGATTCATCGATTACTATTGTAAAATATGAATAGTTAAATAAATTTTAATTTGTTTATAATTGTTCATAATTGTTTTTTTTTTTTTCATGAATCATTTAAAAAGAACATACAAGTAAGACGTTGCGTCAAAGTTCGAAATTTTTAATATAACCGTGTTTTGGTTAATATCGTTCACTGTCTCACAATTTAACAATCAATAAAATCCAAAATTGAAGACTTCAATTGTTTATTGAATTTTAATACCATAATATGACTTTTTCTTATTTTCTCAACTTATTTAATATTTAATATTTAGAGTAGAATGTGGTATAAAATGTAAAGATAATCTCATCAATGTACAGTTGTTTATAGAGTCACATACAGTTAATTACTGATACTTGAAAGATGTAATTCCAAGTATATACAGTCATATAATTGATGTATTTATGATGAGCAGTGACATTTTTATATCAAGGTCCAGAAGTTAACCATTTACAACTAGCGAATTTAGATCATAATATGCCGAGATTGAATACAGTCAGTGACAATATATTTAGTGTTAATTGTTTTTTGTATATCATTTTAATCTCGAGCACAATTTGTAAAGATTGTTTAATTGTTTGAATGCTTTATTATTGAAATAATACACATATTTTTGTATAATAAGAAAACTATAACTTGATTAAAATCTTTCTATGAATTGTGAAAATTTAATAAACATTATTTTAAAATTTGTATATTTCAAATTCAACTAATATCAAGAATACAAATATTAACTGAATTCAAAATAAATTATTTAATAAGACTAGGAAATTTGTAATATAATTAGATTTGTTTTTATGAAAAAAAGGAATAACAACAATTTATTCGAATTAAATTTAACTAATTGATTTTTTAACAGTTGCTGGGTATTGAAATATCGGAAATCGGTAGTAAAAATTTAAATTGTGTACTTGAGTTTGAAATTTTTTAGAGACCAAATAATAATATATACAAAATATAAAAAAACATATAATATTTGTATTATTGTTATAATAATAAATAAATGTTTTATTCTATAATACAAATAAGTTTTAGGTTATATTTAATTGTTTTTTCATAAATAATCATCCTACCAGTAATTTACAAATCATCATTTTTCTCGTATTCAGTCATTTTACTAATATTTACAAATTAATACATTCTCTAAAATAGCATTAGAAATTCTATAGAATATAAAGTATTTATGTAAAATTTTTATGTATAATCTGTATGTTAGTATATAATTACTGGTATACATAGTTATTACTAATTTATTATTGTTATTTTCAGAGTGCAATTGAAATTAGTTTTTAATAAAAAATACTTATAATGCCGTATTGTCATTATAATTTTAAATAATTGTTTTGTTAAAAGCAAAATAAAAAAATCTATTTTAATATATTTTTATATACTTTGTTTAAAATATTATTTAACAAAATTTTTGTTATTAATAAAATCTGTGAAAGATATCAAGTAGATTTTATTAAACCTTAAAGAATTTAAACAATTTAATTTTCTTTAATAACAATAATGAAATTGCTATGAAATAAGAATTTATAACATTTTTTAATTTTATTTTAAAGAAATATTTAAAATTTTATAATTTAATTTAAAAATATTCAAATAAATTTCTAAAATATGCATTATAAAAATAATAAAACAATAATAAATAAAAGAAAATTTTTTGGGCGAAATAAATTCAAAATAAGTCATAATATATTTACATTTATTGATAAATATTGATTTTGAAAAAATGAAATAATTATGATAAATATAATTTATAAATAAATATTTTATTAAAGAAAGTTTAATAGACTTATCACAATGTAATATTCTTTCCTTATTCTTAATATTCTTGTAATATTATAAATTCTTAGTGCATTTTCATATTTAGAGAATACGTAAATATGTAAAATAACTTTTAATGTACAAAAAAAGGAGTTACATAAATGCAGATCAAGATAAGTAGCATAAAGTTTAAAAATCCAGATAAAAATACATAACTATTTTCTTTGATACTTGACCTCTTTCAAACTGTATAAAAATAAATAATAACCGAATTTATTTAGATCCATCAATATAAGTTATTAAATTTGAGACGAATATTTTGTATTATTAAGTAACATATAAAAAATTATTTCTACACGTGATAAAATTTCAATCCATACAATTAATATTAATATCAAATTGATTATTTTAAAATAATTTTTAAAAAGGATAAATAATGCTATTTACTAGTATTGAAAGTATTTACGCTTTTTATTTTTTTTAATATTTAGATATAAAATAATAATTGATATTAGGTTTGTAATAGATTTAAATTCGATTAGTAATTTACATTCTATGTTATACTAGCCGATGTGGACTGTGTGTATATATATATATATATATATATATATATATATATAACTGTGTATATATATATATATGGAAAATAAACAAGCAATCTAAACACGGCGAAACATTCTTTAAGTTTTGAAATTTTACATTTGTTTTTATTCATACAATAAACTTAATTGGTTCACCTAACGTATAATATATCTAATTCTTGTATTCGTTCTAAATGCATTCGTATAATTACTATGTATTAGGTTCAAACTATGTTCTAAATAATTTTATAATATAGTATTTTATAGGTTAAAAAAGATTTCTTTTAATATCTTTTATATATTTATCTATTAATTAATACACCAATAATATATTTTATTTTATAAAACATTTCAATGGTTAATTATTATAACTAGCTGTAATAAATGAATACGGTTAATTAAAAACTATATTTTACATAATAAAATATTTATTTATTATATTTATTATAGTAAGTTATAATAATAAACAATTAAAATTTAATAAATATTCAACACATTTTTCTAAAATGTATCATCGAATCCTTAAACATATTTGTAATTAGCTATAATATTAAAATATATAAAAATATTAATGTTATCTATTTTTCAGATTGAGTATATAAACTAATTACTTTATGTTTAATTTTGAATTTCAATATTGATTTTATGTTATTTGTTTATGCAGGTTTTTAAAAATATTAAAAAATTTATTACTGTTATAACATTATGTAGAACTTTGAGTTGAACACAATACACATTTACTTAAACGTGTAATAAGAAAATGATTCTTTTTCAATTATCGTTGATGTGGGGATTATATGAATTTTTTGTAATAAAATTTAGTTTAAAAAGTAAGATCATTGAAATAATATCGTTAAATATAATATTATTTGTGATAATAAAACATTTTAGTTATATTAGTTTACATCATTACTGTGTAAAAAATAAAAAATGTTATTTTTTTAGCGTATAATTACATTTCTATATTCTGAAAGTATAATAAAACATATTTTAATTTTGTTTTAGGTTACGCTGTAGATATTTTTATTAATTTTTTATGTCGATTTGTTTAACTGCAAGTAAAAATTTTTTAAAATATTTTAAATATGAACTATACTAAATATTAAAATTGAATGAATATGTAAATTAATGTATAAAACATTACAATGAAAATTATGAATGCCTTTTCATTTAAACAATTATTTGGCCGATTTAATTGTATTATATTAATTAATAATATAATATATCAAATAAATTTAATTATAATAGAAGTAAATACGTCAAATTATTCTTTGAATACAAATTATAAGTTTATTAAATATTATGGCATTACTATTGAAAGTATAATAATAAAATTAATAACTTTAAATTAATATTAAAATTTAGATCTATAATTTAAAACGTATATTTAGGTTTCTTTATTTAATTAAATTTATCTTTATAGCCTAAATAGAATTACAATAGTATTATTACTTATAAGTTTAATTGAAAAATTATTACAATACTTTCAAAATACATTACTCATTTTGATTATACATATAATTAATGATAGTATCTGTGGGCAATAATTACATGATTTTGTTATATAATTCTTTGTTAATATATTGTGTTGCTATAATTAATCTACATATGTATGCTTTGAAACCTTGATTCATACGTAAACAAATAAGTTGAGGCCATGAACTTATATAATAGATTGAATACTTCGTAGGAAGACTTAAGAATGAAATAACTATTGATTTAATTCAAATTTAGGATTTAAGAGATATATGGAAACAAATTCAAAGAAGTATTTCATAATTTTTCGTATTTAATACGTAGTAAATAAAAATTATTAGATATCATTTATTTAATGCACTATTTTTTCCATTTAAAAAGATTAATTATTGAAAATTTTGTTTACACTTAATTTCATATATGTATTTACAATATTAATTATAATTAACGCATCTAATACATTTCAATCAAATATTTTCTTAACATTTGATTTAGTTTTATTTATAAGAGAAAATTATTAAATTTTGAACGATGTGGAAAAATATTAATTTCTTTAATTTTAAAATATATTTGGAATAGTTACTGCTTTTAATTTACATATTCAATAATTTCCTTCTTTACCATTATTGCTTATATAAAATGGAATATTATTTATTAATTCCTTGTGCTTTCATAGTTGTATATATAACCATTTATAAAAATGATCAACAAATATTTAAGCAATAATAAAATGCAAAGATATTATATTGGACATTTATTAGAGTATTATATTGCAAAAAAATTTTTAATAAAAATTGTAATATTTATATTTAATAATGTATTTTACAATGTAGGATAAAATACGATATTAATTATTATAAAATAAATAATATATATTTAATATAACATTTATTTGTATGAAGAAATTAATAAATATTATCGTATGTTTATATTTTATCGTACGTAAATAATTAAAATTAGCCCTCATTTACCGCTTAAGCGCAAAATTATATATATCTTTGTTTCTATATTATACATATCTTTATTTTTATATAATATTATTAGTTACCATTAGAATGTTGATATATTAATAGAGCATATGAAGTTATCGAATTAAATCATAGTCAAGTTTAATCTGTGTTTTCAGAATATCAATTTTTAAATATAAAATTGGCATTTTACATAACACGTTTTTGGGTTATTATTTGTAATTCATAAATGAAAAGAAGGTTTTTATATACATTTGGATTAGATTAGATAGATAATTAATTTGTTATGATTAAATTACATAAGCTGCAAATTCAATATATTAAAAATAATTAGTTAATGAATTTTAGGTTTTATAATTCGAACAGCAAAATAATCATTGATTCATTTTGATTTATCACAATAAATACTGAATTCACTTAAATTTGTTGGAAATTAATATATACAAATATTAATTATATTTTATTATATTAACAAAATATTAAGATTGAACTTATACTAATTAATGATTAGTTTCTAAAATATGAAAAAGAAAAAAACATTAAGATATTAAATCGAGCGGTATTAGTAGCGAGAAAACCTAGCTTTTATCTCTCAACATAAGATAATGATTATTTAAGATTAACAATATGAGTAAATATTAGTTTATTACGACCAAAATTTTTTTTATTATATATATATATATATATTGTTTCTATAAAGTTTTCTATATGAATATATACTCATTACTTTATTTTAGCTTCAAACATTAAGTTTTTAAGTTTTCGTATATTGTCTCTGTATCAATGTCATTATAATAATATATATTTTATGAGTATCATAAATAAGATAGTAGAGTACGAAAGATTTTCCGATAATATTTATTCGGTAATTATTCTTGTTTGTTTATTAAAATAAATATTTTTAAAAATTATATTTTTCATTTTTAAATAAAAAATAATTGTCTTTATATTTATTTTGAAAATATCTATTTTTATAGCTAAATAAGCTCTTAGATTTATGATTTTTCACTTTAAATGGAACAATGAGATTTAATCAACAAGACGATTACTTTTTATTATTACACATAATTTTCGTATATAATTTTAATTGAATATATTACGTGCTATGTTCTTTCATAAATTCGGTGTATATTTGGAAATCATAATATAAATATAAAATAAAATGATAATTACAATACATAAATTATTTCGGCAAAGCTTATATTGGACCATTTCTAAGATAATTATCATTTAAAGTTTTAAAAATATAAGTAGTTGGGATTTGAATTAGATTGTAGAAGAAAAATAATGCCAAATGGATTTATCCTAGAAATTGCTTGAATGCTAATCTAATTCGAAAATTACGGTTGCAAACCAATCATGAATAAGTTAATGTTGATTCCAGAGATAAGTAAATGTGGGCTATAAACATTTTTTAAAAAATATTTTATTTTTATAAGATGTTAAAAAGTATAGTCAACTTTTATATATCCGGTATAACGTTATTTGTTGGATTTTCGAGTTTACTCTAAATGTATAATTTTAATTTCAGATTGAGGGCAATAATTGCAAGCTTGCTGAATAACGTTCAAGAATAAATGGCATAAGAGTCGAGTAAACGAATGCAGGTAGTCGTCTTTAGAAGAATGGAAAGGCTAACCTTAACAAATTCGAATTCAGAGCAAGGACAAGAAGAAAAGGTGTAAAAGTTCGGTGACGTTAATTAAAAATAAATCTTCAATACAACACACTTTATTATTGTTTAACATTATATAATAATTAAAACAATCAATTCAATCGTTGTTCTATTTATAACATTTTATTTTATGGTTTATAATTGTTCTTTATAATTGAAAAGAGGTTAATTAGTATAATGTAAATATTTTATTATAAATATAAAAATAAATTTAATAAAAATAAAAAAACAAAAAAAAAAAATCGTTCGTTGAAAAGAATGTTTTCAAATCTTTGAGTTACAACTTTCATTTTAAGAATTTTACACCACATTATTTAGTTACGAATAGTTTATAAATTATCTTTATTGCCAAATGGATTACTTTTTTCGAATCACACAGAACTTTGCTCTAATTGTTTTTACTTTATTTGTTTATTGTATACAAATTAATAAGGAAATGAAAAGAATGTTTCAAAAGATAAAGGCCAAGTAGTGTTAAACAGCTGATTGAACCCGAAGAGAGAGCATTATAGAATGTGAGAGGTGCAGAGCGTGCAAGAGAAGAGGAAGGAAAAATCAGAACATACGTTTTAAGAGGTTACTTTACCATTTTCAGGGTTCAAGTATGTAGTTTCTTAGATATTGCACTCATAATTTTTAGCAATGACACTGCTGTGCACACACACATGCACGCACTCACACACACACACACACGCACGCTATTGTTGATCGACTATCGGTCACCTATGCAATCGGACTCGACTCGAGTAAAAAAGAATTACGAGTAGTTCCGATGGCTGATGGAAGACATGAAAGAAATGTCGACTCGAGGCGGTAAACCCGGTTCCCGAGTCAATACGAAGTCCTCCGTGAATTCACGAGCAACAGTAACGTGACTTGGTTTTCGCGCATGCTCGATCTTACGCTCTTACTGCTTTTGATATACTTGAATTTTAATCGCATTAGCCTGTACGCCAATATATTTTTTCAATTAAAATGATTTTGCAGCAACGAATGGTCGGTTGTGTTATTATGAATGTATGCAATTGTTCAAATTGTATTCACATTTCTTTGCTACGAAATTACACGATTTAATTGTGATCTGTTGTTATCGACCGAAACTCAACTGAAAATTGAAAAAGAACGATTATAACATTAATTTATTTCAAATTATTTTAATCGATTTATTAATCATTTGTAAAACATATAAATTTCGCTTATCTCACATCATTTTAACAATAACAATTAATACGTTATAGAGTTTTTGTTTTTATAATTATTAATTTGTTGTTACAAATATATCACGTGAATCAATGTTTTAATGTGATAATTACAAAATGCTATTATCATATTTATATTCTATTTTGTTTTATTAATTTTAGAAAATGATAAAATTTGATTTTATAATATATTAAATAAATAAATAAATAAATAAATAAATAAATATATATATATATATATCATTCGATATTTTATAATATTTAATCACTCGTTTATGTATATTGTCTGAAAAAACAAAAGGGTGTCATAATTTCATGATAAAAGCAATAATAAGGAAATTCTCGATGTTGCAAAATGCTGTTCCAATAGATACTATAGTATGCGTAAGATTTTATGTATATAAAAACGATGGTCGAGTACGCATCGCCTTGAATTTTAATTTCTATCTTTATTGCAACAATTCATCAAAACTAAAAATGTCATGAACTTTCATCACATAAAAGCACACAGTTTTGAAATTCACGCTGTAAAATCCTCTTACAATAATAATAATAAATAGTCGTTAAATCCATCATAGTCAGAAATTGTTCAAAATTTTATCATAATTACCAAATTTATTTATACTTACATTATAATTATTATGATTAACTGTATTTTTTATTTAAGTTCATAAAGCTTAATGAAGAATCAAAAGTATATCTCCTATTAGAATTTTTGTTTTATATCCACTTTATATTAATTAAGAATTTTTATGTCAAATGAGATTTTGGTGCAACAAAAACTATTTCTTATTTATTTTGCTAATATAATATTTAATATGTTGAAGTCAAATGATTTATCTTTCTTTTAAATAAAATACAATTTTTATTTTTAAATAAACATAATTGAAAAAAGATTCGTCAGTCAATGTTATGAAAATAGTAATTCAATGTAATGAAAATGAACATTCAATAAATAAAGTAATTCTACTCATTTATATAATTATAAAATTTTATTAATTTTTTTTTTTAATTCTAATTTTTTTTCAATAAAATCAAAAGTTATTTTGTATCATGCTGATTATACATCAAATAACAAATTGTTATTTAAATATCATGCTTTTAATTTTCATAGAATATACTTATTTTACAAATATTATCCATATAAGTATTTGATTTACTAGGCATTTTGTCATTTGTATACAATGACAAAATCGTATACGAATACGAATGACAATCTCGTTTTTTAATTTGACCATATTATTTTAGAGTGTAAAATAAATTGTATAAATACTAATTAGTAAAAGATATTGATTATATATATCTACGAAATAATTATTAACTAATAGTAGAGAATACTCCTTTAATTATAAAAGGATAGCACAAATAAGTATTAAAATCAATTTGAAAGGCTTTTTAAACTCTTATATTTGCATTTCAAATCTTAAATCAATTAATAAATAAAGCAATATTTATCTGATCTAGAAAGACGAGAAAGACTAATATAATCCATTCCTTATTGTTAATTGATGCTTGTATTGACTGGCAATCCAGCTTATATTTGTTTTGTTTGTATAAATTTATAATCCGTACAAATATTACGTTCTAATAGAAAGTATTTTTAATGAACTTGGTATTAAATAATAATATTAAATATATTACAAATATGGATCTATTTAGAATAAAATATATCGTTGTTATATTTTTTTTAAGTACTGTTCAAACATTTTGTTATTAATAGCGAAAGATTTATAACTTAAATTTATACGAAATTAAATACATCTTAAACAGACTACATATAGTAAAAATAGAATAAGTTTTATTCACTACATCAAATTAGTTTTTTAATATAAATTGATTGAACCTTTATAAAAAAAAATTTATATCTATAATTTAAAAGTCGTGTAATCGCAAGTATATATATATAAATATATAAGATGTATATATATAGAATATATATGTATATATATATGTAGATGTATATATATATATAAGATATATATATATATATATATATATATATATATAAGATGAATACAAAATTTTGTATTTGTAGTTTTTGATTCATATATCACTGCAATTCTATATTATATCTCCGCTTGCAAATAATTAACTACATATACGTTAGTTACATTTTTATTACAGAATATGCATATTACCACTATTTATTATTATGTATTCTGCATATTTAACAACAAATATATCCTTATTGGAGCTACTTTATGTCTTTTGTTGTTAATTCTTGGAAACATAAGATAACCAACGTATATAAAAGGATTTTATACATTGAAGTATTTTTGTATAAGAAAGGAAATAATCACTGATTGCAAACTTGAAAATATTCCGTTAACAACATATCACAGATACTATTTATAATTATTTTCGCGATGTTTTAATATAGGATTGAATATGTACTTTTACTATTTCCACGATTATTATTATATTATTCTTTTACTCTAAATAAATTAATTAAATATATAAACTTGCGTGTCTTGAATACTTATATTCGCACTTCTATTTTTAATATAATTAGTTTAATTTTAAATTTTCTTGAAAAAAATATTAATTTTTATTACTATTTATTACTGAAATCCATCATGCATTATACAATAATATCTTATAATCCGAGACTATAGAGTGTTTATAACTATTTCTTTATAAATTAATATATTACATCAGAGTATAGGTATACAACAATATAAATTATAATTGTATTCTTATATATGTTTCTTAGATTGCAAATTTTATAATTTTGAAAGATTAATTTTTATGAAAATGTATTTTTAAATTGTATGTAGTAAAACTATATAATAGAAAATCTTCATTTAAACCAAAAAGGGTAGGTAAATCAAATTCTTGTAAATATTATTGAAACATAAGTAATTATAATTTGTTCTCGTAATATGATTACTCCTAAATTTTCAAGTACAATAACGAAATTCGTTCAATAATTGATAAAAGTTTTAAAATCATGTAATAATGACAAAGATTAAAAGCGGCTTATAGTAGTAAGAATAGGAAACATAAGAAAAGTAACAGAAAATTTTATAATCACTTTGCGCATTTAGTCTATCGCGAGAAAGTTTGGTGGTACAGGTTTTATACGTATGTGAGTATGCTCTAGAAAGGCTTAAAAGCAGTAGTAAGAAGTGAAATACAGAATTGACGGCTCTCGAACATTGCTACAATACATTAGAAGGTCGTAGAAGTGAGAAGTGTAACATAAGAAGTAAGTGATAGAAAGAGAGAGAGAGAGAGAGAGAGAGAGAGAGAGAGAGAGTCAGATAGTCATGTGCTTGCCGATCGGTGTTCGTTCATGGCTGTGACTTTTAGTATGCGATTGGCTTTCAACGGGCTGAGCTGAACGTGCAATTTGCAAATAAGAACGCGCGCGTTCGTCTGTCATTTTGATATTGCTTTTTTTGTCCTTCAGAAATCTTATAAATTAAAGTAGCATAGCTCGGTCAATACGCAATTTCTACATTTTTCTCGCATATCTTACCGTTAGTCTCCTTCATTTACTGAAAGGTTTGATATTAATATATAAAATTCTACAGAACTATTGAACTGCAATAAATTTTGGACTTTTGAATTTATGCATACAGTAATAATGTTTATATCTCACTCAAAATTTTTTTATATTCTAAATTATTTGCATAATTGTTCTTGTACGTTATTACTTACTGTTACATTATATGCTGTTTGGCAATTTACAATTAAAAAATTTGTACATGCTTTTATTTTTTCCATTAAATGCATTTTGTTTCTTATATAAATATATAATTAAATATGTAATTAACTTATGTCAATAATTTTTAAATTAAAATATATAATTATAACATAATTAAAATTAATAATTGAGAATACTAGAGCTTAATGAATACAGAAGCCATTTAAGAATAATATAAAAATTTACCATTACATAAATCAATAATATTTTTTTTTTAATTTTTCAAGTCTCTTTTTTCTAAAAAAAATTATTTAAACGTGTATATCTAAATTATAATATCATTATACTTCAAATGATTTTCTTGTGTACAATTTAAGTTTAACAAAAAGTATGCCGAAATAACAATGCCAATATTATTAGGCGATTGAAACTGCAATAATCAAGACTGCAATAAAAAATTGAAACAATAAAAAAGAACATAAAGAGTAAATTAATGCAAATAGATCATTGCCCGAAAAGATAAACAGCTTTCTTCGTAAAAATAAGTATGATGTCTTCGCTGAAACTTAAAGATGATCAACGCTTCGCACTTATGAAGGTAATATCAATGATCAATTGAATGAAAAGACAAAAGTGATGGGTTGTTTTATTGAAAAAGTTTTTTTTCTCTCTCATTATTAAAAAATGTTTTTTCGTAAACTTTTTCATGTAGAAAATTTTTTAATAATATATACAGCCTCGTAACAAATTCAGCCTTAAAAATGAATTATCCATTAATAATTAATGACCTATTAGACATTAAATTTATGTAAAACAATGTTTTATATAATTAAAATGCAATCTTAAAACAGCTCGCTTAGAAAAGTTATTGCAATAATAAACACGCAATCTGTCACAATATTCAATAATTCTCGAATGTGCATAATGGAATTTAAATGAAAGTCAGAGAATTCTTAGCCCGTGCAGAACCGAACAGTTACCAGGTTATCGAACTGTCTTTTTTAAATGAGGTCAGCGTATCATGTCTGAACGTGAGAAAATGTTAATCCACTGTTCAGCTTTCATTGTAAGTGAAATCGAATGCTTAAATTTCACAGAAAATTTGTTCATGGACAATAGCCGAATTTCTAGATTGTATATGATCTGAAATTATTCCAGATTATTTTAAAGTAAAAAAATTAAATTATCATTACATTAAAAGCATACCTGCTTCATTCAAAATGCATTTTACACTTTTAAGCATTTAAAATTTAATCCCATTCAACTTTTTAATCGATAAATATCGTCAATAATTTATAATCAATTTTATAAGCTACTTTATTTTAAATTTATTATAAAATAAATATGGATTCAAAATTTGAATAAGAAAAAAAAGATAGTAAATTGTAAAATGTATTTTTTTCTTGTTTAAATCAATGAAAACTCGAGATTTTTATCAATATAATGTTCAAGTATTTTCATAAAACATAAATTAATGAAATTATGCATTCATAATTACTTCTTTGTTTATATTCAAGAAAAATTACCATTATCTTATAACTGTGCAAAAAAATATTTTGTTTAAAAACCAAATCTAAATTTTTCATCATATCATAGAACTGTTTCTGTGGCTATTGAGATTATAGAGACAGTGAAATTTCGCATGTAATATAAAAAGCTATAATTGTTGTGAATATTTTTGTATGTTGTACTTTTTAAGAATAAGCTGTATTCATTATTTCATAATCTGCAGTAAAAAATAATTTCTATATAAATAATATTAGTTGTTTCATGTATATTTGTGTTGAGATGGATTATAAATATGTGTAAAAAAGAAATTAATCGATACATATGGTGCATAAGTACATATATCTACATAGTTTTACCATTGATACTACCTATATAAAACATTAAACTTAAATTTATAGTTACAAGATTAAATAAAGATACATCACAAAGCACTAAATTACAAACACACACGCGTACGCGCACGCATTATGCTAACTATATCCGGAAATACAGTTATCGAGAATGGAGTAGATTACCTCTCGCCTACAAAAAATAAGAAATAACAACCGTAGCAGAACATATGCCACGAAACAATAATTATCGAATCGTTCCACACCCATGTCGAACAACTCAAGCAATTTTATATACTAATTTGATTTGCTACATTTACCGCTTACTTGATATGTTTAATACACAGAACAGTAGACTAACTGAAAATTATTGCGTTGTGTAGCTATTGTAAAATAGCAACGTAATGGTATCATTCTGCAGTATGTACGAAAATATATGAGAGCACAACTATTTTCTCATTTGAATTAGTCCACGAAATATTTCTTATAATATTTTATGAACGTTAAAAATTAATACTACCAGATATTTTGAGGAGCGGAATAGCTTAAGTATCTGACATAAAGCAATTTTATTGTTAACGAAAAAGATGATACGATAGATGGATTTGATAATTTGCTAAAGCAGATTATACAGACTGTTTGACTATAATTGTGTAATTCATTTCGTTATCCTATGCATGGAAACGTCCATTTCGTCAACTATGTAATAGCGTATGCATTTTGTATATACGTAAAAAAATCACAGATTTTCAATTGGTGATTCATTCGAAATTATTTTAATTTTTACTAATATTGAGATATAAATTTTGGATTTCACATATTTGGTAATGATCCTTTGGTAATGATTACTTTCAACATTATTCAAATCGGATAGAAAGAAAATAATTTGTTATTTTTTATTAAGTATTTAATCTAAAGATGGAAAAATTGTACTTCTAATACAGTTTAAATTTTAGTATCATTACATTTCTGTATTGAATGAAAGGACACTATGTAAATGAGTCAGCAATACTTAAATTTGAGACGGAATTACTTTCTGCAAGTTTCTAATGATAGCACTATTATCGCTAAGCAATAAAGCACATTATTAAATAAAATGACGAAAAGCATTAGGAGAACTGTTTAAAATGTAGCTGACGAAAAGCAAAGTTTTAATTTACAGTTTTTATTATTATACATAAAAGAATGCGTATCCTTTCAAGGCTTTTTCACCTTCTCTCAGAAATTCTTCATGTTAAAAGAAATATAATCCTCTATAATTATTGATCTAGAATGTTAAATCAGCGATATATATCTAAAAAAATTTTCGTAAACTTTAAAATAATATGCTGGATTCGATTGTATTCGTGTGGAATTCATGTATTGTACATAACACTTTTAATCATAGATACTATAGTAATTATACCAACAGGTGCCTTTGAAAGGCAGTTGAATTGCCCAAGAGACTAGCTATGTTTTATTGTAACATGCACAGAAAATATGTGAGACGATGCAACATAAATTATGTAATTTATACGTAATATAAATGACTGCATCGATATCACTTAGATAATCTATAAAAAAAATTTTAAATAAAAAAACGAGTGCTTTTTATAATAAAATATTAAAGGTGATAAAACTGTGAAGTAACAGGAAAAATTTACTTAAAAATATTATAGAATTAGGACTATTATGCACATATATTGAGGTGAAGTTGAAAAATTGCAATACTAATATTCTTGATTACTTTAAAATGAACACAAGAAAAAACAAAATACATAATGATTATTAAAATTTATTTTGAAAATAAATACTTATACTCAAGTTAATTATATTAAAGATGTTAAATTTATTATAAGATGAAATCGACTGTATTTTAGGCATTATTCACTTTATATTTTCAAATGATCATATTAGTCTCAATATATCAAATTAAGAATTTAAAATATTGATATTTATTTAGTATATTCGAGCAAAGATAATTATAATAATGACGAGAATATCGTAGGAAGGATCAATTATTCGAGCAAAATCAGAAGTTTGCAACCCGATTACGAAGATTACTAATTAAAAAGTAATATAATAAAATCTAAGGGTGAAATATTAATAATTGAAGGAATTTAAAAAGACTATTGTGGATATAAAAAATTATAATATTGCAAAAATCATTGATGTGAAACGTATTTTTCCTGTATTCTAAATTGATTGCTACGAAAATTACAGAGACAATGATACTTTAAATATCAAAATGTAATATTATAATATTGTATTTTATATTGATGCAGTATATATAAAATGATTAACCATATATATTTTTAATTATTTGTCATTCTCTGTCATTTTTCATATATTGTTTTTTTTTTCTATTTAGTTCAGACGAAACGTAAAAGATATTTTACAGCCGCTCTACGATGATCAGTTTCTACTACGATGGTTAAGAGGTAATATTTTTAACCAAAAGTTACCTCATTATGTGTAGTAATGAAAACAAATTGTTTCGTAGCTCGAAAATGGGATGCTGTTGCTGCAGAAAAAATGTTAAGAGATGTAAGCATATAATTTTTTAGATTTAATTTAATAATGAAATAAATTAGAAAATTATAACACAAATTGAATAAAAAATTGAATTAAATCATAAAATAAAATCATAAAATAGACAGACGTATATTGTATATATTTAATTATATTAAATACAGTCTTGTGATAGAAATAAATTTTAGTCATAAAAATTATTTATTTTTTTTTTAATTAAAATAGAAAAAACTGCTTGATAAACGCAAAATTTATTTTATTTTTCTAGATTAAACACATGTAATATTTTCATCAGCATTCTGACACCAGAAAGGTTTACATTCGTGTCCAGAGGTAGATTATATTTTCTTTAAATTGGCTAGCCAAACCTTTGCTAGTCTGATTACTTTCACTTCATTTCAAAAAAGAACAATATTTGCAAAATCGGCATTTGTCTCAATACTTATAGCATTCCTTGACTGTTGCCAAACTTTATCCACTACATGAACTGTAATATGTATTTTCGATATCAATATCGCAAACATTTTATCAAGCCTATCTTCCATAAATGAATTTTCATGCATATCTATTCTTTTTGCGTTTCCATTATTGATCTTCTATGTTTCTCTTTTTATGTACGTCTAAACATTTTTCTTTGCGGTCATTTATATTCTAATCCATTAGTAAGACTATTAAACATCATAAGTTCCTTTCGATTTAAATTTATTCTATCTCATTTGTAATTGATTCGATTATGTATCTATTTTGAAAGAATTATAGATTTATTTTTCTTTTATCATATATTTTAAATTCTCTCTCTCTCTCTCTCTCTCTCTCTCTCTATGTAATACGTAGTACTCTATCTATATTGCAAAGTTTATTTATTATGTAATAGTTTTAAAAACATCTCTTTTAACAAAATTTTATGGGCATTTATTTATTTTATTATTAAACGGATACTATTTATGAACTAAATCAATTGGCCTTTTAATCTTCAGCATTTGATTCATAAAAAATTTTATATTTATCTCCTAATCTATTATTAGTCGTCTAGTACTTTGCTTAGTAATTCAATCTTTTCTTTTACATTCGTTTAAGATATTTTTATTAACATTTTCATTATTAAAAAATCATGTTTGCTTTAATCCAATGACCCTTAATAGTTTATTTTAATATTTCCATTATCTTAAAAGATTAAATATTTATTTTAGGTCAATATAGTTGTACGGTCTCAATTGTATGTATGCTCGATTTACCAAAATAACAAAGAAAGTTCACATTTATATTTCATTACACGAAATTATTTTCAGGCTTCGATTGTGGGAATAATATATTGGGAATTATGGTTTTGTGTATAAATGTATATGCAAATTATACGAATCATTCAAACACTAACAATTTTTATTTTTCAATTTATTTTTGTATTTTACTTGCAGTCACTTGAATGGAGAAAACGATGGGAAGTTGATAAACTTAACGAATGGGAAATTCCTCAAATTTTGAAAGATTATCTTCCGCACGGTCTCTCTGGGTACGATAAAGACGGTGCACCTGGTTTGTATTTTCCTGAAAACATTTTTTTGCATCATTTTATGAGTAATAATATAGCTTCGATAAAATAATTAAAAAATCAAATAATTTAATAAGCAAGCTTATTGTTAAATATACTCAATTTGCTTAGAAAATACATTGTCCTAATTCTTATTACAGAATAAATAAATGAAAAGTCCTTAAATAAATATAAGCTGTTAATCAAATATTATTTTTAATTACTTATTTTTTGTAAGAAGACCAATCAATAAATATAAAAATAAGTTAAAATTTTTTAAAATCAGATCATTAAGCTCTAATATTAAATAACAGAAATTAACATTATATTCATGTTTATTACTCTAATCTACTATTTTATTTTAGATATTTACGATTTAATATTTCCAATTATTATTGATTATTTATAAACTTGTACATACAGTTATTTTAAAACCATTCAAAAGTTATAAAACAAAAGCATTGGTATTAAAGTTCTTTTTTTAATAATACTCCAATAACTATTGCAGAATATTATTCCAATAAACAATTTTGGTTGAACGAATTTTAGATGTTCATAAAACATCTATAATAATGGCACTACAATTGATTCTTCTTGTCAGGAATATTCATTACATAATAAATCAAAATCATATATTATTATTTAATATAACGTATAAGTTGTAAATTTTATGTAATTATATTCTATAAAATTAAAAAATTCTTATATAAAATAAATAAAGTGATACATCGTAAAATAAAACATAAAATAAAACAAATCATAAAAATATATATAGATTTAATTTCATGTATAATTTATTATTATTTAATCGATTTTTTATAAATATTTTATTCAGTGTTCTTTTTTATTTGAGAAAAAAAGTTTATCGGAAGGTTAATTAATTGAATTATATTCACACAAATAATGAACGTAATTATAAATTTTATTTAAACTGTTTATATTTTATCATCAAATAATATAGATATATTTATCTCTTGGCTACAGATGAATCACCATTAAATATTGTTAAGAAATTAATTAACAACTTAAGACTCTTAATGTATAATTATAAATAAATTTATTTATTATAGATTTTAATTAAAAAAGATATATTATATATGTACTGGAGATATCGGTTAATTATATGAACTAAAAGTGTTAACATATAGACTGATAAATCTGTAAAATAACAAGGGTAATATTAGAAAAAATTAATTATTATCACTGCATGTATTTATTGATATATTTTTTTTATTAATTATACAGATTAGTATCGTATACACACTTGTTGATTAAAGCTATTAAAATAGAATTAATTTATTTTTAAATTTTAGATAAAATATTGATACATTGACATTATTTTTATTTTTTTACTGATTATTATTCAGTAGTACAGTAATTAGTAAAAAATAATATTTTTTACAGAGAAATTAAATTATTTGTTAAGGAAATGATATTTAATTTTAAAATATATTTTTGCATAAGAACAAATTTTCTTCATTAAGGATAATGATTTTGTTACAGTTATCATAATGCCATTCGCTGGTTTAGATTTATATGGAATTTTACACGTTGTAACTCGTCGTGAAATGATTAAAGCAACAATTAAATTATTAGAGTACTATTTGCGAATTTGTAAAGAGCAAAGCAAAAAATATGGATTAGAAGCTGGACAGTGCACAGTTATTTTTGATATGGAAAATTTTAGTCTCAGAGAATATATGTGGCGACCTGGTTGGTTTAAATTTTCAATCATATATCTTGTTTATTAATAAATAACCAGATTATTTTTTTAATTTCATAAAGCTGGAGAACTGGTAATAATGTTAATTCAAATGTACGAAGCAAATTATCCAGAAATTTTAAAAATTTGTTATATTATTAATGGTAAGATTTAATAGTATTTGTTAATAATATTTAATAGAAAAGCATTAAAAGTAGTAGTTTTACAGCACCAAAGGTATTTTCTCTTGCATTTACAATTGCGAAAAAATTTATGAATGAATATACATTATCGAAAATTCAAATATATAAATCTGATCCTGTAAAATGGAAAACAGCCATATTACAAGTTATTTCTGAAGACAATTTGCCAGTATATTTAGGTGGAACATTGATGGATTCTGATGGAAATTCAAGATTAACATCAAAGGTATACTAATACAATTTAAACATTTGATGAGCGCAATGTCAATAATTTTGTTTTTAATAATTAAAGTGTACTTAATTACTTAAAATATATATAAATTTAATTTTTAATATACGTAAATACAAACATAAAATGTAAAAAAATGTTGTATAAACAATAATACTTTTACATGCTCAAACACAAATTTTAATTAATTATATTCTAAAAATTGTCTAATATGCACGTTTTTTTATTATACATTTATTTGTGAAATGACTATATTTGTATTGCATATCAATATATTCATATATCTGTTTTTATGTAAATAGAACTAATGTACATATATAAATGTGATTAATTTAAAAAAATTATTTTAGCACATTGCATATCAAGTGTACTGTAAAGTAAAAAATATAATATGGTTTAGTAAATATATATATATATATATATATACAGAACTACATATCAATAATTGATGAACATTTTCAAACTTATGTTTTAATTGACATATTTGACTAAATTAAAAAAAAAGTTATAATTATTTACATACTTATAAGTTTGTTCATAAAAGATTTTCTAAAAATAAGTTGCAGACAGTTTTTTCAATGTATGGATATATAACGAAGTAAAAAGAAATATAGTTCATATAAGAATAACAACTGATTGAAATATAAATTCAGTAAATTATGAATTTACAGTTCATTTTTTAGTCTTCGCAGATAATATAGGTTACATTTATTTATTTATATATTTTTATACAATATATTAATAAAATATGAATAATAAACTGTATACATAATTATTACTTATGTATTCTGATTATAATATATTAATGATAGATTTGCCAAGGTGGTAGAATTCCGAAAAATTTGTACACAAAAAAAAATGATAAAACAAATGAATTAACAACTGTAACTATTAAGAAGGGCGACAAATTAAAACTTGATTTTCATCTAATAGAAGTTGGATCGTTATTGAGGTAAGTTGTAATAGAATAAAATAAGGAATATAGAATAAAATAAGGAAATAAATTTATTTGCAGTTGGGAATTCCATTCTGATGATCATGATATTAAATTTGGAGTTTTGAAGAAAACAAATGATGGATTCCAAACAGATATAATTCCACTTCATAAAGTTGCTGCTCATCAGTTTAACGAAGTTGGTATTGTTACTTGTGAAGCTCCTGCTGTTTGTATGTTATTTGAATTCAAATTCTGCATTTCATGATTAAATTTAAAATAAACAAATTGTGTACTACTTTTTATTTTTAGATTCTATTGTGTTTGATAACAGTTATAGTTTACTTAGAAATAAAAAAGTACACTATTGTATACGCATACTTCCTCCAGCAATGATAGATGAATCTTCTTTAGCTAAATCATAAGTTTTCATTTTGTAAATAAGAAAATAAATTACAATAATTAATTAATCTATAACAAAAACAGCTTTTATACATATAATTCTATAGGTGAATGAAATCTTTTAGTTATTGATTTTTGTACATAATAATATTCAATGTTAATTTTAATATTTTATAATTTTTGTATAAAAAAATATAAAAAATGTAAATCTATATTACATTGTAGCTTTACATATTATATATTATAAAATTGTTATTTACGCAAAAAAAAAAAATATATATATATAATAGTATAAAATGTATTTTTTAATTATCATCCTCTGCTAATAGCATTTCAATTAGATCATTATTTAATAATTGATCACCTTCTAAACGTTTTTGCGTTCCCCATTTTACAAGCGTTGGCAAAGTTTGTATGTGAATTTCAGAATTTGTTCGAAAAGGACATTTACTATTTTTCCAACTATAAAATATAATTGTATGTTTATATTTATAATTTAATGGAATTTCAATAAAAATTATTCTTCTTACAAAGCCCTATCACCAACCGAGACAATAATATAATGATATGTTCCAGGAGCCGACTGTATTCCCTTTTCTATAAATGGATGAGCTAGAAATATAATTTAAATTTGAAATTTAATAAATTGAGCTGGTCTATGATAATATGCTTTACATTATATATAAATAATAGGCCATATCGGTAGGCATTAGAAATAAAGTACTACCTTTAACACAATCAGGACACCAACTGTTTCCATCTGCCATTTCAGAACCCATATATAAAATAAAAGTTGGATTATTCGTTTTAAAATTTTTTATAAATGTTATGAAATTTGCGTAACCATTTATGTGATGCTTGATAACCATGTTCAAAGTTTCTAGTTTAATATTAACCTTAAAATGTTATATGACTTTTAACAGGGACAAATTGCTGATTAACATACAAAATTATTTGTAAATAATAGATCTTGGAGAATAATAGTGACACTTATTGTTACGTTGTTATATACCGATTCTTTTGCTACGTGGCTTATAGGTAATAATTAAATAAGAATATGGTATAACTATTACTGAAATTTTATAAATGAAATTTAAATAACAATTGCACAAATTTAATATTAATTTTGACGTGGAACTCGAGTAAGGCAAAATTTACCTATATGGTACATGTATTTCAAATATTCAAAAAATTAAGCATTCTACATTAATAAAAAAATATTTTAATATCTTTTACATCGTAACGATAACGAGCTTTTTCTTGATTTCTTCTGTTCCTTCTGTCATATTATGATTAGCACAATGCAACACTGTGCCTTTCATATTAAGGATGATTGGCTCTTTCCTAAAATTCTAGTACGCATGCGATTTTTTATCATCTCAACTACATTTACTAACTGGCAATCACTTGCATGGATGCCAGTCTCTTTAAAATTGTATTACTACATGATACATTAAAAATTAACTTATAATTATTATCATAGTAATAAATAAGCTTTTTTTACAATTACATATCTTATTATCAATATAATATTAATGAGTTTTTGTGTAAAAATTTTCTGACTAAATTTATTATTAGAAATCGTTCAGCATTCTTAATTTATAATTATTAAGTTATTTCAGTTTTTTCTGATGTTCATATGACCAATATTTAAAAAAAATACAATGATTTAACAGTAACTTTTACTCCCCACCCTTTATAAATTATATAAATTTTCCATTAATACGCTTTTAATATATAATGTTGCTTTAAGATTTAGTCTTTCAATTAACTTAAATAGTTGATGAGAATAACAAGAATTATAGAAATTCTCAAATGCAAATCAAATGTAACAGAAATATGTTACTTATTCCAATAACTAAATATTTATAAATGTATTCTTTTAAAAAATATTTTACCAAAATAAAATACTTGAATAAATGTTATATTGATCAACCGTAATATATAAATATAAAAGCAACGATTTATTTAAAAATAAAATACAGATTAAACGTTTCAATTTTTTTTTTTAATCTCTTTTTGTGTTTGAAATAGATGAATCTTATTCAAGAATTTCGTTTATATAGTTATAACTTAAAAATTTTTTAAGCAATTTTTTGTATAGTAATATATGTAAGTAATAAAACAGTAATATTTAATTAATATTTGACGTTGACTTTCTATTTTCACTAATTGGTGGACGTAGATTTTAATAGATATGTATGTATTATATATTAATATCGATTAAATAATTTAGTTTTATTTAAAAATTTTTTTTTGTTCTCTTAAAATAGAATTTTTTAATTAAAAATTTTTATCTCTATCTTTAAAAAAACAATTAATTCATAAAGTTGTTAAATTTTTGTAATTTTAATATAATTGATTTTTTAAAAAAAATAGGTGTAAGGATATTTTTATTATTCATTGATTGTATGAGAAATAGCATACATTGATTATAATTTATCTGTATTAAATTATATTATTTGTTAAAATTATTATTATTCATATTTAGTTATTTTAATCAAGATAACTCAAAATGTATATATAACTCTTTTATTTATTATAAATGTTAAATATGAATGTAAATAATTATAATGCCTATATTTTTGAAGTTCGATTTTGTTAAAGCAATAAGATTTTGTCTTCGACGAATAAAAATTATCGATAACAGATGCTGTAGGAAATGCAAATGTTGCTTTTCGATATGGATTACTTATAGATTCTTTACAGATACGCAGCCAATATCCATGATAAAACAGACAAATTTTTAAATATCCTGCTCTTGTTTATTATTAATTGCTTTATTATTATTATTATATATATATATATATATTTTTTTTTATCAGGCACAAAAAATGAAGATAATGCTATTATATTCCGATGTTGTATCAAGTCATTATTCTAAAAATTATAAATTCATTACATATCATATTCACACCTTTATTTGTTCTAGCATCTTATTAATTTTAAAATAAACACAGATATTAAAGATTTAAACTAAACTTGAACTTATCATAAATGCTAAATATAATATATGATTTTACTGGCTATATTTTCCAAAATAAAATATTTCGTTATTACATGTGAGATTTTTCAAATTAATGTACTGTGTGATCGATTTATTTTATTTTTAAATCTTCATCTAACTTTGCAATAAAATATATATTTCGTCGATTGATAGAATTTGTTGTATTATTTCATTTACATTCGTCAGAAATTACGTTACAGGAGTATGGCAAAGTTATATTTTTGAAAATTTATTTAATTTTTAATTTTAAATTTAACTAGGCATAATATTCTATCGTACGAGGTAAGATTCTAAAATTGTATTCTAAATGTTTCATTACAAAATTCTATAATGCAAATGAGTTTAAATTGATAAGGACGAGTGCACATACGAGCTTGTGAGTTTCAAAATAAATAGGGCGAGAAATTCAGCCCACCTACCAATATATTTATAATGTATTTCTCAATTGCAGTATATTATGATGGCTACAGTTATTTATAGGTAATTAGAGGAGATCGATATCATACTTAAAATGTCCTTATAACCAATACCGTGAAACCACCAATCATTATACTAATAAATATAATTTTATTTATTAACTAATTATCGTAACAATAATTAGTTAAATTTTATTTTAAAAGCAATTATATTTATAGCGATAGTAAAATTATGAAGAAATTAAAAATATGTAAATAATATTGATTTATTATTATATTACTTTTAACATTTTGTCAATAATAATTTAAATTGACAAACAATTGTAACAATTATTCATTTTTCGTTATATATATTTTGTTTTTTTTTTTATATTACAATACGCTGATATTGTTATTAATAAAATTACATAATAATTCTATACAGTAAGGGAATCAATAAATGTATATGCATATACAGTGTATGAAAGTAATAAGAATAATTATAATTTGAAATTGCGCGGAATTGCCGCTGAATGCCACGATAGTGGTAGCATTGGTGAAGTGTCCTTTTTCGCTTTTCAATATGGCTTTCCGTGATTCTGAGAGTCACGTCGCAAGTGTCGCGGTTGTCGCAAATCGCGGTTACGTTACCCATACTTCCGACCTTCTGATAAACGCCTTGCGAGTTAGAACTCCAAGTCGACAATCGTTAATCTATTTTGTTCTAATGGTGGATAGTGCGCAGATCCAGCCATCCATTTATCCATCTGTCTATCGAACGAACCAGCCAACCACATATCTAACCAGTCATCCAGTGATCCATCCATTCATGCATCCATCCATCTATCCAACCGCACATGCACCCATCTAACGTTCTAACCATAAAAGCCCTGAAGTAGTAAATGCATTCTAAATAAATGTAGAAGGGGAAAAAGCAGGCAATGGTCAAAGATTAATACTCAGTGATTCAGGTAGTCAAGCATTTTGGCTGTTTGGAGATTCCTTCATTCTACCATATAGATTTGTGTAGCAGCAGTGACGAAAACAGTGTAAAACAGTGGAGAACAGTAGCCAGTAAGGGAACCTAGTAATTGCCTAGTAATTGTCGTGCGTTGTATAATAGTTAGTACCATTGATTACTTGAGTGTCAAGTGTTGTGTGTCGACGAAGCGTGCAGTGTTGCAAGACTCGAGACTTGCAGGTTTCGATCGTTCCGAGAAGGATCTTTCAACAGTGCAGAAGAAAATTTAACAAGTGAGATATCCGTCCAAATCGTCCGAAAGCGTTATAAAATCCATTCCGCTGCCAATTCTCAAGATCCAAGCTATCGATTCATTTTTTTCGATTATTCACGATCACTGTGGATCCCTTTTTTAATGACAGGGTTTCTCTGAGGGGATGGCGGCAGTCTTCGACATCGAGCTTCATGACGCGGACGTGGTGCCAAACGACGACTCCGAGGACGACGTTATTGAAATAGGCGAGGTAACGAGCATTTTTCGCATTCTTGACATCTGTCAAGAGTAGTGTAATTTATTTTCCAATAGATAATTCAAACATTTCTTTTACATTCGTTACTCCTGGGGCACGCTATGTTTTTGTTTTATAATCTTATTATCGATCTCATGCCCTTTCAAAGTCATTATTATCTCCGTAAGAGGATGATTAAGCGCGTGGCACGCACGCCGTGAAAGGCTACGGCTGCGACATGAATACTATTAATGAGTAAGAATGCTGTAATGCACTATACAATTGTGTTGAATTTTTACGTGAAAACTTGACCGATAGATCGCGCTGATACTTATACTATTTTTATGAATATATGAGAATTAACTATGCATTATTAATTTATCTCTATCTTTCTTCCAACTCTTCATCTTTTATTCTTTTTTCTTTTTTATTTATATATATATATATATATATATAATTTTTTTTTTCATCAATTTAAGGATGAAAGCATTTATAATAATGTTGATTGATAATATAATGATCGGATCATTTAATTTAACGTATGCGACATAACCTAAGAATAGAACATTTAAAAGAAAAACTATTATGCAGTTACTAACATTCAAAAGTTCAGTGATTCAAACAATAAATTACCAAAAATACTTATTAGTTTTATAGTGATTTTAATTTTTGAAATAATATTAAATCGAATATCTACACATTATTGATTCTTACTAATATTAATATATAAAAATTGTTATAATAAATTATAATAAACCATAATAAGAAATTTACCATTTTATTTATGCAAATTTTTATAATAGGTAATTTCTGTAATCCTTTTAAATGAATTATGGTTCACATTTATAAAGATTTTGATTCTGTTATTACTTATATTTTTCTTTTTCATATTTATTAAAAAATTAAAAGCAGAATATTTTATGAATTGTAAAAAGTACTATTTTTTTGCTTTCTTTTAATTTTACAATTTACATTGACATTGTCACAGTATAATTCATTATTATTTATAGATGATGAATTATAGGTTATTGTAATAATTATGTATTTGTAATTTTAGAAATTCAAAACTTCAACTTATCATTTAATTTTACTACATACCCTTCTTATAAACATTTCAATATTATTTAAAAAAAAAAATATCTGTGATACATTAAATTGTTACAAACAAAGATATTTTAATTATTATATTTACAACTTTTTAAAGCTTTATTTTCATTAACTTTCTGTTGTAAGAAAATGAAACCATTCTTTTTTTTTTATTTATTTAATTTTTTTTACTAGATAGATTGAAGAGGTTTGTTATAATAATATATTGTTATATTAATTATTGTTATATTAACATATTTATAAAAAAATTATATTTAGTCAGCATCCTTCGTAATTTACAATGTGTTCTAACTCATTTCACTATAAAAAATTATCATTAAATTATTTGAAGCATGCATGCATGCACCACAGTTAGATTTTCATTAATTTTATCATTTCAATAAATAAAACTACCTTTTTTATAAAAAAAATTTTAATTCTAAGGATACATCGAAGCTCTTGAAAATATTTTGCCTTTATTAGTAATATGAAATAACTATGTAAGAAAATTTATAATTAACAATATTCAAATAAATTATCAATATAGAATTGTAGAATAAATAATAATGTCAAATAAAGTGTCAATATAGAAAATATTTTTATATTTGGCCTTATGAATCCTTGAAATTGGAATACTTTTTTTGGACCAGTAATAAATTTGTTGATCATTTAATGAACGAACAAAAAGCAAAAGGGTCATGAAAAATCTAAATTAAATCTGTTGAGTAGGAATGAAAATATATTATACTTTATAATACAAATTTCAAAAACATAAGGTAATGTTATTTGCTTTGTTGTAATTGAAAAATTATTTTATCTCTCATAAAGCATAATTATTAAAGTAATTTTCTTACATATATTAAGGTGTAATTATCTACAATTAATTTAATAATTTTAAACAATTATGGCTATGAAATCATTATGTTTTTACAATAAATTTTACTTTTAATATACCCTTATCTTCAGACATTTACATTCGTTGTTACGCATAAAATCATATTTGTATTATGTAAACTAATTTATGTACAGCTTCAATGATCTTTACTGGAACTATGGTATCTACATAGCAATATATTTATATATTTTTTAAAACTATAATTACTTTTTACAAATTTTTCATTTAAAAAATTTTTAACATAAATTTGGAATTTCTACTTATTGCTTTATTGTGTAGGATTCTTATTCTTATAAGAATTAATTATAATGAATATAAACTTTATTAATTATTGTAATATTTGCAGTTTCAAAGGTTTCATATTTTAAGCTCTTTTAACTATTTATTACACGATTGATATATTTAAATCCATTCATCAAATTTAGAAATGATAAGTGAGTAATAGTAATATAGTTAAATAATATATTTATTTTTCTTAATAAATAAAATTCATATTAACTTAACATAGAAGATAATACCATTAATTAATAATATTTTTTATTTATTTAAAGTATATACAAAGAATATAATAAAACATATTTTTTTTTTAATTATGTAAGAACTTAAAAAATTACAAATGAATCTAAATCAATTGTTTCATGTGTGTAAGATAGAAATTTGATTGTTTTCTGATGCATAATCCACTATTTACATATTAACAATAAGTAGTTTTATATTTTTTATTTGATCAAAGACAAAACTATATTCTGTATGGGCTAAGCTTATTTCATTTTTGAAATTTTATTTAATGATGTTATTTATTAAGCATGTATTATATTATTGTTTATCCAAAAAGTTCATTAATATTCTATCAAAATATTTTTTTTAATATACAACGTTCATTTATGTTAGTGTAGTTTTACTAATCAGTATTTACTTTAACCAATTTTTTATGAACTTGTTTATTCCAAATCTTGTTATTACATTAATTTATAATAATATTGAATAATCATGGACCATGGAAAATTTTCTAATCTATACTTTAGTTTAGTATAATTGTTGATTTAATTTTTTTTTTAAACAAACTGCGATAGGAAAATAAAAAAAATCGCTTTAAAAACTATTTTAATGCACGAATATTATTGTAAGAATCACTTAACAATTCATTTGTGCACAAAATAATTTCTATGCAATTACTTATAATGGCGAGAATATAAAAATCATTAGTATTAAGAAAGAAAAGATAACTAAAAATGTAGGGACTTAGATACGCAATGACTGCTCCTCGTAAGTAAGTGAAAACTCTGTAGGATCTTTATTTGTATCCTTTGTTTTATTAATTTCAATGTTTTTGTTTTGTAGTTGAATAATAAAGTGAATTTTGGAATGAGTTAGTCTAGTTCGAGTTGGCTTCCCTGACATATATTCTATTGTGTTTCATTCTATTATCTTTCTCTTGTTCACTTTTGTTAATTTTAATATTTTTATTTTTATCACCTACTTGTATCAATCCGAGTATATAACAAATTTACGCGATCTTGCATAAACGATCAGTTCATTGAATCTACAAATCGAACATTGTAGTTATCCTCTTATGTATATATATAGTATCGTCGAAATTATGTCAACGACAGCGTATGTAACCATATAAATTAAAAATAAAGTAAACAGCATTATTAAATTTATAAATCCTATAAAATATTATAACAACTTAATGCAAATATTTATAATATTAGCTATGCCTCTTCTAAAATTCTATCGAATATTGAAACTTATAATATAAATATTAAATAGTTGACAATATATTTGTATAATTACATATTTATAAAAATTACATAATATAATATAGTTCTAATATTTAGCAAATTGATCGTACAAGCATGATAAAATAATAAAAATTATATTTTCAAAAATTTCGTTTTAATAAATAAAATAAAATATTTTCTTCATATTCAAATTTTTTAATTATTTCACAATAATTGAAATCGTGAAATTTGTCTTCTTGAAAATTAAGAGCTTCATTATTAATATTTCAAATGTATTTATCTTCAAATAGTATTTCTGAAATATAATAAATTTACTTTTCAAAATTTTCATTAAATCTCTAGAAGAATATTTGACAGAAAGAAGCATAGAGAATATTTAATTAATTGAAATCTATAAATTGTGCTGTTAAATTAAAATTATTATATAAAGCCGCATTCAGTTGAATATGCAACAAAAATAAGTTTTAATTTTAATAGGCTACCGTATTTGTAAATAATGAAATTTCGATACGTTTTAGATTTCAAAAAGTGTTATTTACAAAAAATTATTAAATTAATCTTTTCTTTTGATATCTGTTACAAAACTGTTATTTAAACTTTATGAATAAAAAGATAGAAGTATATACTACTCATTATGAAATACATTAATTAATAAAATTAAGACAAATAATAACAAAATGTCTAGACTATCAAAATATAATATTAATTATTTATATTATTTTAATGGAAATTTTCCATAATAATGTATTAATTTTTTAAATCTGTATTTATTTTATGTTTGATAATATTAGAAAAACGAATTACTTTTGTTTCCCAAATTAAGTATTTGTAAATGAATGTGAGACAAGTGTGAATCACTTACTGCGATAGTAATTTTTTATTTCGCCTTAATTACTTATATGAGAAAATAGAAAGTCAATTTAAAATAAAATTAAGTTCTTATACATTCTTAGAATTGCCTATCATATTCTTTGGTATTTCTTTAAAGGCCTCGTTACTTGGTTGGTTGTTCTCATTCTTTATCTCTATTACTATACCTTATTTTTATATAACTATACATATTGAAATTCATATTGTATTTTCGATATTATTTTGGAGGCTAATCTGAGCGTGTTTATGAAACTAAAAAATATTTTATTTCATATGTTTTACTGATTAGGTGGAAGATTTATAAATAAAAATATAAAAACATTTATTAAAATAAATATGTAGATAAATTTAATTATCAATTTAATCCAGTCAATGACAATAGGCGTAATTCTTGCGCAAATCTGAACATATATCGACTTCAAATTTTCAAGATCTTTTACTAAACATAGGCATTTAAACAGAATGAAAAGAAATATTAATAGTCATTAAATTACTAACGCAATAATAATCTCATCTCTTTTTTAGTAGCTATATAGTTTTTTCCTAAATTCTGTTTTTAATAGATGATATAATAAATTTTTTATTGAATAATCATTTTCTTCACGAGTCGAACCAATAGCGTGATAGATAAATATTACTGGAAGACTCAAAAAAAAAACCAAAAAAAAAACCGTAAACTATTTAGCATGATTATATCAGAAATACAAGACTTTCTTGCATAACATAGAATATGTTAAATTATGTTTTCAAATAATTATTCGTGTTCATTCGTGCATGCGCATGCGCTCGTATGTTTCGATGAATAGGAGTAATTAAAGCGATTTGATATTAAATATAATAAAGATGAAAGTAGTTTGTTGGACAATCAATTAGATTTTTAGAAGTAATCCTGAAAATTGCCTACGTAATCAAGTAAGGCACCAAGAAAAAGAATAAGCTAAAATCAACAATATGGATGGCTTGTATAGGTTAAGACGAACAAAAGGAAGGGTGATTTTTTGAAACCACAACTATCACATATTAAGAAAAAAAGAGTATCGTTTGCAGATGTCGATCAAATCGATCCATTATTACATTGGACGTGTGAATTTAAAAGAGACGATGTATAGACTGACTACAAAATAGTACAATGTATTGAATACAGTTATCTTCAACACCCATTAAAGATTTGATAATAGTTCATATATGTTCACCGAAGAAAATGTCGAACTACAGAATCTTATTCGTGTGTTCAGTATGCCTAATCGACAGAACGTGTACAGCAGCATTAATATCCTTTCCCGTTATTTCTCATTAGTTTTTACAATTTTTCTACTTATTTTTGTATGATGAGAAATAGGATTACTCTGCTATTAAGCTACCATTACTGTGATTTCATTGATTTTAACTATAAATATCATACATTAAATATAATTTAAATCTAATATTTATTTTAAATTGAGTATTTTTGAGGAATCAAATTTAGTGGTAATATTATTTCCACATAATAATTATAAAATACCTTCCCATTTTCTACGCAAAGGAGTGTATATAAATGTTGGTTCCCATTTAACTAGTTTATTCAGTCAGTCACTATACTATATTATATATCAACATTTAATTGCTTACCATCTTTTACTTTTAAGCACTCTTTTATGTGCACAGATTAAGCATATTCTTTAATTGTAACATTTTTCTTGTACTTTTTGTTAAAATATTTGAACTGCAGTACAATTTCAAGTAACAATTGTATTTACGAAACTCTGTATTAAAATACTTTAATTTAACTATATTTGTATTACAATGTACTATACAATAGTAAGATAAAAAGAGAAAATATTGCATGGTTGTGAAATTGAGAATTTTTTTTATTTTTTCAGGTGGAATACGATCCTAATCCAAATGTGCATGCTATTATCGAGTGAGTAATTTTCATTAATATTTATTTGTAAATTTTATCTTGTTTTTAAAATATTACGAAGTACTTTGTTTAAAATTCTTAATAACAAAGATATTTCTACTTTGATAAATTGTTTTTGACAAATTGTTTTCAAATTTTTCATAAATGTCATTTATTTGATTAAAATTAAATTAAAATTAAAAAATTGCTGCTTCATTTTAACGTAAGAACAACAGAGGATAGATTTTATCGTTTTATAAATAAAAGCATATATTGTAAAAACAACTTTTTGTAATATGTTTATATGCCAAATTGTAAACTATCAAATTTTCATAATTAAAATTATAAGTTTGATAAAAATTACATATATTAAAATGTTTTTTTGATTTCTGGAAACAATTTTGAAATTTAAGTTCAAAACTATGGAAAACATATTTTAAACACGTAAATATTCCCATACATAAAGATTGTATATTACAAGTCTAATCATTTTCGTCAAACAAATTAAATTTTTTATTTAAATTTGTTTATTTTATTATGTCATATGTGTTGAAATGTCGCAAAAAATATTTGCTTGTATTGGCTTTAAATCATTTTATAAAAAATATAGATATCTTGTTTTTAACAATGTTAATCAAATTAACCTTTTTTTATATTATAAATTTAATGTCATTAATGTGTGAGTGTGTTTAAAATAAATAATCAAAAGTTTACACTGCCTTGCAAATATCGCAATACATTTGTTTATTCATTATAATTATATATAAAATTATAATTATAATGATTATACATTAATGTATTTAAACATTAATTATAATAAATAAACAAACGTATTGCGATATTTGCAAGGCAGTGTAAACTTTTGATTATTTATTTTTGATTATTAATGATTATATATTAATGTATAATTAAATGGAAGAATTGATAAATTATGCTTTAAAAACGTAATATTTTCTTAATACATTAAATATGTTATCAATTTTCTAAATTTTTTCATTAGTAATTAATAAAATTGTATTGAATTTTAAAAAATAAATCGGATTAAAAAAAAAATTTATTTAACAAGTCATGTGATGGAAATTTTCCGAACCCCAACGATCATATTATTCAGATGAGTTTTTATTAATTTTTTTATTTAAATAATGATAATAAATATTAAATTCCAAATATAAATAGCTAAGGGCCTGATTAATTGAAAATGCAGAAGTAATTATAATTATAAACAATATTTATAAAATATGCCGTACAATTTATTTACCTTAATTTGTTCATTTTTACGTTTATCTATAATTAAAATATTATAGTTAGTTCAAATAATAATTTAAATTATTAGCATGTATATGTAAAGTAAGAGCTCATCATTTATTATTTATAATTAACAAACAATGATTAAGTATAAGCATTAAAATTAAATTATAATTAATAGATCAGAAGAAGTTGAAACTGTAGCTATATCAGAGCAAAATGTCAATTTAGGAAGAGAAAGAGCTGGACCACAAGACTTTGAACTATGTAAAGTTATTGGAAAAGGTGGCTATGGCAAAGTATTTCAAGTCCGTAAAATTAGTGGTAACGATAGTGGTACCATTTTTGCTATGAAGGTTCATTTAAATTGTGATTAATATATTAAATAATATTTTTCAGTTTTTATGTATATATTTATCTATTTTATATATTCTTAGGTATTACACAAAGCATCTATTATAAGAAATCAAAAAGATACCGCACATACTAAAGCAGAAAGAAATATTTTAGAAGCTGTTAAGGTATATTATTCTACAAAAATAATATTGAGATTTATATCTTAAAAATTATAGTTTACACTAATACACTTTATATTATATTAAACAGCATCCATTTATCGTTGATCTTATGTATGCTTTCCAAACTAGAGGTAAATTATATTTAATACTTGAATACATGTGTGGTGGTGAACTTTTTCGTCATTTAAATAATGAAGGCATATTTTTAGAAGATACAGCATGGTAAGTTTATTGGATCAATTTTTTAAATTAAATGAAATTAACCAAAAATTAATAAAAATTTGTTTAGCTTTTACTTGTGCGAAATAATATTAGCATTGCAACATCTTCATTTACAAGGCATTATTTATAGGTAACAAAAATTGTAAAATTTAAATTTTTGTCTTAAAAAAAACAACAAAATGTTTATTATAATTTTTTTTTATAGAGATTTAAAACCCGAAAATATATTATTGGATGCAGATGGTCATATTAAATTAACAGATTTTGGACTTTGTAAAGAACACATACAAGAAGGAGCAGTTACTCATACATTTTGTGGCACAATTGAGTATATGTAAATAATTTTCAGAATTATTGTAAACATTAAAAATTTAATATTTGTATTCCGAAATTTATAACTTATAATTCAATTTAATTTAGGGCCCCTGAAATTTTAACAAGAAGTGGACATGGTAAAGCTGTAGATTGGTGGAGTCTTGGTACCCTTATGTATGATATGTTGACTGGCTCTGTAGGTTTTACATAAAATAAAAACATTTTAATATTAAATTTAATAATATTCAAAGGGCACATTTTTTTTTGTTGCAGCCACCTTTCACGTCTAATAATAGGAAAAGTACAATTGAAAAAATTTTAAAAGGCAAATTAAATTTACCTCAATACCTTACACCAGATGCTCGAGATCTTATCAGAAAATTATTAAAGGCACACTTTTAAATTTTGTCGAAAGATAATTTTAAATTATTTCAAGATTCTTTGGTTATTCATTTAAATAATATGTTTTCAGAGACAAGTTTCGCAAAGACTAGGGTCAACATCGACGGATGCCGAACAAATTAAAGGTCATCAATTCTTTGAGCTTATCGATTGGAATGATGTTATATCTCGTAAATTGGAGCCACCTTTTAAACCAAAATTAGCAAGTGAAGACGATGTCTCACAATTTGATAAACTGTTTACGACGTCATCGCCAATCGATTCACCTCCCGAGTGCACACTAAGTGAATCCGCTAATAAAGTTTTTCAAGTAAATATTTATATGTTTTACATTACAATATATATTTTTGAGTATTAAATAACTTAATGTCTATTTAAACCCTGTACAGGGCTTTACGTACGTTGCACCAAGTATATTAGAAGATATGTGCTCTCAACCACGAGTAGTGAATGCCAGAAGTCCGCGGAAAAATAACATGCGTGGGTTTTCGCCTCGCGGTAATCACTTTCACATGCATAATTCACATCTGCAAAGTCATAGGTCATTGTGAAATTTTGATTTTGTTTTTTATTTATAATTAATATTTAATTAATGATATAGTAGTTGAGAAGATAAATATTCATTTCAGACATAATGGTGTTGGTCAAAGTATAGAAGATGCAGAAATGATTGAAATAGGATAAATAATGTTGACTCATTTAGTCTTCGTTATTTAATCTTCTCGTTTAGCTGTTGGGCTTCTAAGATTAACTCTCGAGTCTCGGGAAGAGATTTTATAAATAACACAGCTATGTGAAGAGTTTTTCGAGAATGTATACAATGTACAATAGATGCCTAATAGCTATGCATAGTTAAATTTTTTTATTTGTATATAACGACTAACTACAAATATTAGGTAAGAAATTATTACACCTGAAAAACAGGAGTAATGACAACAAACAGCTTTTTGAAAAGCCTAAAATAAGTACATTTATCATTTAAATCCCATATAAAAAAATATTTTATTTTAGAAAAAATGTCATACTATATCTTGTTTTTAATTACTGTAACACTTATAACATTGAAAAATCATTTATAGCTTCTAAAATAAAGACCTATATGACAATTTTTCTAAATAGTTTATATTATTACGTATAATTACAATCTAAGATAGCTGCATCAGACATATATAGTGGTTGAGAAATATGTAATTGTACCATTCTAAAGATTGAACTTATATAAAATTAATTTGAAAACTGCTGCTGCTGCTGCTGCTGCTACTGCTGCTGCTGCTGCTGCTGCTGTTGCTGCTGCTGCTATCTTAAATTTCCACCGCAGTTCGTATGTAAACGAAAGTGTTAGGTAAAAATTAAATCGTTTTATTGTATATTAAATTGTAAATTAATGCAACATTTGAGACGAGTTTACAGAGATAATTATAAAGTTAACGAAGAGGTTTTTGAGATTGCTTATTACAAATCTGAGATTAGAATTCAAAATTGAAAAAGTTTTGAATTTTTCAATAAACATTTAAAAATCATCAATGTTAAAATAGTAAATACAAATTATTACATTTAGAAATTGAAATAGTCTGACAGATTGAATGTGTTTTCACATGAAATAGATATATTGTAAAATTAAAAGATATAAACCCAGAATTATAAGTATAAGAGAAATAAATTTTAATTTTCAGAAAATTAATCTCACATGTTAAATCATGTTACTCTTTTACATTTTCAGATTATAAATACCTTGCGAATTTATAAAATTATATTTTTTGGCAGATAACTTAACTAGGAAACTTGCATTCATTTGAAAATATGGCGTGTTCTTTTAAGCAATGCTTTGTTGTATATTTTACATCATAAATTAAATTAACTACAAATAATAATTTTACTATTTTTCAACAAATATGATTTTAAGAAAACTGTATAATTTGATTTTATTAAATTTTATTAAAAGAATTTTATTATAAATAATTGTGAAATTAAATTTTGTAAATAAGAAAATCCTTTTATTTAACCAAGTATATGTGCGTTTTCAAAATGAGTGTTCAAAATCATGATAAAATTTATTCATACAAAAATTAATTAATACGCATTTATTAATAGATTTGTAAATGAAACTTTTTTACTTTCCTTATTTTACGATAAATTTAAAGTTTTATTTTATCTACATTGTATATCAATATTATTCGCATTTTTTTCTTTTTATTTTAATTTAGGTATAATATAAATCCATAAATTCTTTTTTGATACCTGTATTGTTTTTTTATTGGATAATTATACCAAAATTATATACACCATATAAATCACGTATAAATAATGTATTTTTACAGTAAACTCGTATTTATTTAATTAGAAGAATATTTAATGCTTGATTCAATATCTGTAATATTTATTAAATTTAATATTTTAATGTCTCGTTTTTTTTTAAGCATGTACTGTGTGGTATTTTTCAGTTGCATCTTTTTCTGTCTTTTTTGACAGTATAATTATATTGACTTCAACTAATTCAATCAGTAGGTACATCAGCCAATGGAAATTTGTGATTTGAATATCGCAAAAATCAGTAGTTGATTCGAATTTTTTTTATTTACTCACTTGGATTCTAAAAGCCAGGTGGGTGATATTTAAGGGTGGGAAAGAATTCCATTTTTGTCTTACAAGCTTCTGAAAGACTCGGCAGCGCAACAGTATGCCAAGACATCTTCTCGAGGACTACTATTCTCGCTGGATCTTCTTTTCATACTTGTTCTTTTGTACTTCATATCTCCATTGCTCACTAGTTGCTGTAGAAAGAATACGAGTGTTTTCCCGTTAATTTTAATAAATGTTATCTTATTCTTTGCAAATCATTTATCATTTCGCGTATTAATGAAACAAGTGTTTTGGGTTGTGTAAAAATTCATTATATTTAAATGACACAAGTGCTGTTCACTTTTAATCTTCAAAGCAGGTTTGGTACTCAAGTTTTTCGTAATTCGACGTTTTTTTTTATTTCTCGAATCATAGTTTTTCTATAATCCGCAATTGATCAGCTGTGCTCGCTGACATACGAATTCAGCTTGTATCTAGACACGGCTTTATTTTATTGTATATTAACAAATTTGTTTATTTTCAATTGAAAATTAGAGTTCGTTCGTTCAGCCTGTGTCAGTAACGCTCACTTATAACTTTCTCCATCAGGTTTTGGTATATGCTTGTGTGTAGCCTGCTTCTTCTGAAGCGTTGCTACATTGCACATGCACATATCATAAAATCACTGTATAAAATAAAACTTATCGAACTTAAAATTTTATTATATATATACATATAATAAAGTGTGTGTGTGTGTATATATATATATATATATATATATATAACGTAAACATCTGTTTATTTATATATTTCTAATATTTGTTTATTATTTTTCAAATTATTTAATTTTCACATTAACATTTTAAGAAGCATGTTTTTTATTTAAATTTCATTAATAAAGCCATAAATTTATTTTAATTTTTCATTTCATAAATAATATAAAAATATACATATTTGTTTAATTATTACATAGAATGATATTATTAAAATGTGTTCGAAGACTAAAAAACAATAAATAATACAGCATATTCTTAACTACATAATCGTTTGTCAAATATTGGCAAATTTGAAAACTTTAAAGTTTTAAAATGGAAAACTATCAGGAATTTAATTTGATTCCATTCGGTAGAAAATAAATTCTCACATTTATGTGATATTGTCATGTTAATCTTACATTTTATGCCTGTATTTATTTTATCTTTCAGTACCAACAATACAAAATATTAGACAGTAATTAAAATTATTTATAACTTCATTTTTAATTAATAAATAATACAAATTATTTGTTTTCTAGCCAATCATAGATTTACAATATATACATAAGTTTGTTATAATTTTATATTACAGTCATAAATAAATTAAAAGAAAAATCTTATATATTAACATAAAAGAATTTATCTAGACCAAAGCATCATCGCTAAAAAATGATTAATGTACTTGAAATTTACTGATTTTATTTTAATATTCACTTTATAAATTTACACATGATAGAAGCGTTATCTTTATAATCTACATATAATTGAGATAGGATTGAAGAAATAATTAGAAATACGCTTATTAAATGAAAGATTGTAAACTAATATTTACTGAATTATATGAATAACAATATTTTTGTTGACGTGTTTTGTGCCATAATAGCTACTGAAATAAAAGAATGCAATTTGTTTTATGATACGCTATTTCAATTGATTTTTTAAAAATTTCCGTTCCTATTTATTTATTCTTCCCCTAAATGTCCGTTCATTTTAAAGAAATTTCATACCAAAATACACACGGAGTATTGAATATTTTTAAAGATAAATTTATATTTATAAGCTCTGTAACAATATCTGCAATTTAAGTCTTTATTTTAACATATTTAGAAGATAAGAAAAAAGAGAGTTTTTTTAATGTTTATGTATACCACTCAATACGACCAACATTAAATAGTTATATCTTTTATTAATATTTTTTATCTTTCTATAATCAACGTGTAAATAGTATAAATATATAGAAAAATTTATTTTTCTTAAGATTGGAGGTTACAGGATATTAGTTTGCTTCTTTTCTTTTATTATTTTTCAATTTATTGAAATTTATTTGAACCAATCGTTCATCTATTAATCTGTAATAGCTATTATAAAATTATGTTACTTTATAATTACTTTCAAATTATACTACGCTTATAATAGTACTAAAACATTGAAAAAATTCTAAACAAATTTTGAGATCTAATACTTTGTTAATGCAATTTATTTATTTGAAAACCCATAATAAAAGCATTATAAAAGATACAAACCATTTACAAATATAAGATAAATAAAGCAAAAATAATTACAATTTTTAGACCATAACATATTCACGAAATTAAAAATGAATGAGAGAGAGAGAGAGAGAGAGAGAGAGAGAGAGACCAGGATGTTTTACGGACCAGATGTGTGACTCCAATGCCAATGTCAAATGCTTTTCTCTATTCATAAAATTTTTTTAAAAATCCTAGTGATGTAATGGCAGCTAATTTAATTTTATACAAATCACACTACAGTTTTATTTTATTCATGATACTCGGTCCCTGTCTATCCAGCTGCTTAGTAGAATTATGCAAATAATAATTATTCATACCTCGGTTTGGACCGATGTCACAGAGTTCAATTGGAGGGTAAAATCATTAAACTGGCAATTATATAGAAATTAGTTCATCGAATCAAATTATTTATTATTCTAATTGTTAAGCATTCGATTTATTGAGTTTGCAGAAAGTTTGTCAACATTAGATCATGGTGCTCGCAACTCAACAATTTGAAGAGCGTGATGTGATTGATAAGTTCTATTTGATTTCTAAAAATATTGATTTCGAGATTCTCTACAATTATTTTCTTGTTTTGGATGGTTATTGGAAATTATCTAAACTATTATGTACTATTATATACTCATATAACAGCCTGAAAATCTGATTAATTTAATAAACTATCTATATTTTTTAAATTAAAGTAAGTATACAAAAATCGAGGTGATGTTACTTGATTATTAGCGATGAAAATCAAAAGGTTGAACATTTTTCAAACCCTCCATCCAGATCTGGTACTATAGGCAGATTAGGATTGAATTGATGTTGCTATCGAAGTTTAGCACGAGCTGAGATATTGTTATAATTGTCTGTTTCTAAATACATCTGTTACATATGTCATGGTTTATAAATATGCTTCGTAATTCAGTTGAACTGGTTTTTAAGGTAGTCCGATTTTTTATAAAACAGACAGCATCCGAGTTTTATGGTGCCTGGATTGCTTCAATTATGAATATTTTATGAAAATAATCATTTTTTTTTTTTCAAAACTATTTTTAACATTTGAGTTTTTAATAAATAGATATGTATTTAATTTGAAAAAACTGCAAAAAGGAACGTTGCGCTCTATAAAGTTATTAAATAAAAAATTAATCCAATTTAATCGTAAGTAACAATTATTTTTATAATTCTAGTTACAACAGTTGTACAATTATACAGTTATACAATTTACATTGTATACTAACTTTGAATGTAGGGAATCTCCCAACCCGATATGGTTATTATCAGCTTTATAATTATAAATTACAATAGACTTTTAACTATTATAAATATATTCATGTATTATTGTATAAATATAAGTTTAACACTGAATTATCGCCATTGCATTGAGATTATAATAT